GAATTCAATAATTCCCTCACTCGTGTCACATTGTCGGCTGTGGTGGTCGTGGATGGTCGTCCGGCACAGTCCTCGTCGTCGACCTCTTCCCAGCCTTTCAAAAAGGCCTTATGCCACCGAAACACATGCTGATCTGACAGGGCATCTTCTATATAAGCTGACTTGATCATAGCAACCGTTTCCGTCGCGGTCTTTCCAAGTTTCACGCAAAACTTGATCGTAATTCTTTGTTCTAACGAGCACTCCATTTTGACTTGTACAGTGACACAAAACAATTCTCACGGATAGGTTCGTCCTCACTTTCCGGATGCTCGGAGCACCTTCAGCAGCGGAGATCTGTTTAGCTGACTTCCCGTACTACCAATTTTAACCAAAAAAATCGCGGTTCGACGTGAAGTCGCGTCACAATAAAGTCAGTGACATTACTTTCAGAACATACCTTGTATATACGAATATATTAATGTCTTTTATAGTGTACAAGTGTTTTACCGTTATTTTTCAAATATTTTATTGGGTTTTGTGGTCTTATTACCTATGTATTTTTACAAATTTTTGTGAACGTTTAGTATGTTTTACGGTGTGGTTACCCACGTGTTCTGTAATTACTATTGATAAACGTTTGCAAATTTATAACCGAATTTTGTAATGTAGTTATTGTACTCCTTTTTTTTATCGTGGGGGAAATCTTCGAAAGATACCCTGCACCCTGGGTAAGGACGCGGGGTTATGCCGTATTCTTACTGGCTAATACCCCCACGGTGGTCCTTCCCCGACACATGAGGGGGGGCCCCAGGAACTCTCGAAGAACACGACTGGGGCTAGTTATTGTACTCCTGCATGTTAATCAGAATGCAAAAGCGATAAACACAGTTAATTAATCATTGTGTTCCTTTCATGATTACAGGAGGTTACACCAACTTCACGGACAAACCACCAAATCCAAATTTGATGAAAGCAGTCAATCAATCAATCAATGAATCAATCAGCCAAGCAGTCAATCAACCAAGCAACCAATCAATGAGATGAGCAACTTCTCAGATGCTTTACCGGTAAAACAATCGCAGTGATGCAAGTCAGCGATTGGTGAGTCGCATGCTTTACGATTCCTCCGGTTCCCATCATGTCGTAGGACGAATGGTCCGAAACGGCACGGAAACTGGTTGTATTTTTATATTTGAGCGAGCTTAGTGACCACGATTGTGTAAAATTCGTACAAACTGTTTATTATATTTATTAGGTTAGGTCAGGGTTTTCTTGTACATCGCGTTTTAACTTAACTTCTTTACGAATCAAGTTAAAATTAATTCACAGAAGTCGGATGACACTCCGATTTCGTGCTGGTTTAATTATAGTCACTTTCAATTTTTACTCAATTCAATTCAATTCTTCAATTATCGCGAACTTTTTTTAAATCCACTGTATGTACAAGAAAGTTTCGCGAAAAACAGATTTTGATATCAAAGATAATTATGAATGTTCTTGATCATTTAGTAAATTTACTTTGACATTAAAAATCTGTTGAGAATGAAACAATCGATACTTAGATTTTTGCAAAGTATTCTCCATTGTCTTTTCTGAAAATTTAGTCAATTTTTGTTGGAAGACACTTTATTAGTATATTTTTAATCGTGTTTTTTAGCTCAGGATTTTCAGCACACATGAAGAAAACTGGCAGGGCAAAATATATGTGGCCGTGTTCATTTTTATGCTCTATATTCATGCGCGAGCTTAGATGCTACTCGCATGAGTTAGGGCAGGTGGACACGGTTTAGTTTTAAGATGTTTTGGCGATCGACAAATTGACAGTGAATTATCGATACAAATTATTATTTTCGGTTCATCTCTGTCTCGTGGTTCACGTAAGCCACTATGTGACTACCCTTTGACTCATGGTAGGCGCGAGGGTTCATTTGGCAAAAAATTCTTAAAACCCCCCTTCTTTGCAAAAGTTTCTTCTAACTTTCTTTTCTTTTTGTAGAAAGTTCTTTTAACTTTCCTTTCTTTTTGTAGAAAGTTCTTTTAACTTTCTTATTTTTTAGTAGAAAGTTCTTCTAACTTTATTTACTTTTAATAGAAAGTTCTTCTAAATTTCTTCCCTTTGCTTTTTGAAGTCGTCATAGATTATTTGAGTGCAATCTTAGAATGAGAGGTACACGTGCGGCGTTTAGAATAAGTTAAGCGTATGTGTGTGGGATCCCATGCAATTAATATTAAGTTAATGTATGTGTGTGTGTATGTGATACAAGTTCTTTGCTGGATTGTGGTAAAGAACTTGTATATGCGAACCTATGAGCTAAGTAGAGTCAGGACTCATTTATCCTTCCGATAAATGAGGTAGTTGCAATTGGCGGGTGGTTGGAATTTGGAGTTAGAGTGGCTTACTGTCGTAGCCACCTCCCCGTGGTGTAACCTGGTAATCGATATCGTTTTTTAAAGATCTTCGAAAGATAATATTTAGAAAGCGATAGCGAGCTAAGCGCTACGATTTACTGTTAAATTATTCCATTTATTCCAAAATTTTCTTTTATGAAAATGTTTTGGACTGAAGATATTGTGCTCCCTAAATGCACCTATCAGAGTTCCAAAAACCGTGCATTAAACCTGCATCGATCAAATAAGTATATAACTTTAGTTTTATACTTAGTACTCTATAACTTAAAAGATTTACAAACCTTATAATAAAATGCGAAACTTCGAAAAACTAGACAGCAGCATATAAGGCGGAAACCCTAATTAGCATAAGAATTGTTTAACCCTTTCGCTTCGAGCGCCGGATATATCCGGCATCCGCGCGGCAACCTGTGTGTACGAGCGCCGGATATATCCGGCATCCACATGATGTGTATACAAGTACCATCTGTGGTCAATGACAAATTCTTCGTTATCGGCAGAACACTACTAATTTCTAAATATTAGTATACTAACTAATTTGTGTTACATTATTAATAATATTAAACGTTCAATTTTAAAGTCTTGTAAATATGTAAATAGCTAAGAATTTGTCAATTGTAATTAGTCTAATGTCTTTGAAGTAACTAATATAATTTTGTTTAACTGTTTTCATATTAAAATGTGAGGAATACATGCTATATTAAAGCAACAATTATTTTATTAATCATAGTAATTTATACAAACACCACGCGCGCTGTGCACATTTCTGGCGCGTGCTTCCGTACGGTGACGACACTTCGGCGGACCGGGCTGCCGAAGCGAAAGGGTTAAATCGTAAAATCTTGAAATTCTCATTAATAATGGTGTGGTAAAGTTAAAAAACATTCCGAAGTTAATTAATCTTGTATTCCGCTATAATCTGACGCATATTATAGTGGATTAAGATAATAAAATCAATATGAATAGAATTGAATTGAAAATAAAGTAAATAAATAATAAATAAGTAAATACATTTAAATTGAAACGTATCGCCATCTAGCCGTGAAATATGGAAACTAACGGAACTACAACTTCAAAAACGTGTAGTTCACTCTGTTTGGAGGAGAGATGGTGCCATTTGTTCCATTTCCGTAGAAATTCAATTGATATTGATTTTATTCATCAATATGTAATATATTTACTAGGAGTACTGCTCACAGTGGAGTCTGAGCGAGGCGAAGCGTAACTGACGCTGACCGACTAAATGTTTTTGCAAACTTACTCTCGGTTTATCAAGAAAATATTCATTTTTTAAACAATCAGTGAATGCGCTGCTGACAGCAAGACTAATTATATCAGGATAGCAGCGTTTTCAATTTTCGCAGGTCATTAACCTTATACTTGACATTTCTTCGTCAAACTTATGGGCTACTTCAACCATACTTTCATTATACCCTGTAATGTTTCGAAGATCAAGAGAATAAAATATAGACTCTTCCTATCTTTGCCGATGAGCTTGCACCCGTCGTCTATTAGCTTTGATTCTCTTGGCGATACTTGTTCTCTTCAGACGTGGCATCCTTAGGCTTACTTTTATGCAATGGTTTTTGGTTAAAAGAGAGTTTTAAGAAAGAATACTTTTATAGTAAATAATCATGTGAAGAAAAAATATTAGCCCCTTTTCTTCCATTGTATATACAGGGTGTCCCGCAATTATACCTGAGTATGTCCTCCAAGAGAGCTAACCCGATTAAAAAGTTGTTTGAAACCAGTCTCCTAAGTCGTCTCTAAATTCTCGGAAAAGTATCTCGAATATTGCCTTTAGAACCTATGCTAGGCCAAAAAGATTAACGCGCCATTTCCTTAATTCCTCTGAAGAAAAAGCCGGGATACTAAAGATATTCATCTAACTAATTAAACTGGTCCTTTCGACCTTCTCAGAACCTCAAATAGTCTAATGAGACCTTCACCAAAGGAAAAAGACCAGATTTCTGCTATTTCTAGTGAAAAAACCTCGTTCTAGGCTAAAATTAAGTCTAACTCCATTAATTTTTATCCGATTTTGCTCAATATTGAATTTAAAGTTGTTTTTATTTAGATCTTGAAATGTGTGAAGTTTCAAGGCTCTATCTATGATGGTTCTCGAGAAAAGTGCATTACATAAGTCGAAGTATAGTCTTCGTTCGGCTTCGCCTCGCTCAGACAATTATATATTTATTAATATTGTTTTTATGTTGTTTATGATGTATTCCGTGGGTCCGAAGATGTAAATTATGTGTTCAGAACAGTGCGCACACTATACTGCATCTCGTTGATAATATAGGGAATGACATAAGAATGGTAACAAACTTTCTTTTAAGTTGTCAACAACTTGTCGTCTCGTCTTCTTTTGTAAAAAATAGCTGTTTTGCAAAATTTGATCGATATCATAACATGATGATTTTTTGAAGTTTTTCGCTCACACACCTACGATTTTTCCCGGGAAGTCAATTGAAGTTTAGTTCCAATGTTAACGATAGGAGGCGCTAAACTCAATCATTTGTTTTGAGAGTTGTGCCGTCATATTGTGTTTTAAACACCCACATATATAAAATATACATACATTTAATCATATTTATTGAAGGGTGAATACATAATTATGACAGTGATGTAAGGAAGTCAAAAGTCAAAAGTCTTATTTGACAAAAATTCATGAAAAAATAAAATTTGCAGGTATTGTTATTAATTTATTATTAAACTACTTGTATAGCCTTAGTGTTAGTAGTCATACCAGAAATCAAGAATATGAAACTGAAATATACTAACCGAATACTTAATAGTAAGATACTACTAACAAAAGTTCAAAATTATATAATTTTATGAAAATTTATTTTTATAGGTTGTTAAATTAAAAAATTAATGTATGATAGTGATAGAAACTAACAATAGTTACATATAAACCTGATACTGTAACTACAATTATGGCAGCAATAAGACATACGTTACAAAGAGAGGTGTTTACACCCAGTGATGAGAAGTTACTAAGCATATGTTATGTCAGTAAAGCATACAAAAAGAAAAAAATGAGCTTTTTATGCTTAACTACAACTACAGATACACCTTCATCTTTACTTTTGTATCAAGTTAAGAAAAATGATAAGAATGTGTTTAAGAAAAAGCAATCATGGTCATTAAATGACATTCAAACTGTGGATGGAGTTAAAAATGATTCTATGGATATAGAATTACACATTGACAAAGTGTATAAATGGTCAGCAACAGCAGCACAAGAGCGAAGAACATTTATAAGCAATTTATATACTTATTCTTGTAATTTAGAACAAAGACCCCAATTTAAAAATATTCCAAAAGAATGGCTTATAGATCCTAGTTCACTGAAAGAAAGTGACAGTATTACTTTCACACCAGGTAAATGTTTCTTGTGTGTAATGATTGAAGCTCCATATTTTAATCTAAACAGGATATACATATTATTATTTTCATATATAAAATTAGAAGTGATACATTTTCAGAGCTTCTTACATCACCTATTTCATCAAGTTATCAACCTATTACTGAAAAAGAAGCTATTGATTTGAAACAAATGATGGAAAACTGTGAATATGCAGTGTCTAATGCTGAATTATTTATGGAAAACCTATCTAAGGACCTATCAATTCTTGATGGGGTAAAATTAAATTTTAATATACTAACTATTCTATGAGTCAAATAATCTAAAAAAATATTGTTACATTTTGAAATTACGTACTAATATATTTCAGAAATATGGTTATTAAAATATGTAGAAAATATAGTTTTTCTTAAAGTAGTCTAGTAATTTAATTTTTTGTTTGTAATTAGTGAAAATTAATTTTTAACAATAAATTTAGGAAAATGTCCAATCAGTTTTGGCATCGGAAACACATGTAACTCAACTGATGAATAGCATAGAAGAAGCAATAATAGAAGCATCAATTGTTGAAGCTCGTCTTGCAAATTATGATGAAGCGCTTGGTAGAATTAGAGAAGTTATGGCTCGTGTGGGTCAAAAAAATCAAGCTATTCATACAGCTAACAGTAATGCAAGACTTCTATTAGATCAATTAAATACAGTAATTGTAAGCAATTTTTATATTAGAAATTAAAGTATATAATGTATATAATTTAATTAAAATGTATAACACAAATTTAATTAATTTTATCTTTTCTATACAAAATTTGTAATTTTAATTTTGTAAGTCGCAATTAGATATTTCACCAACACATCAGCATTCTTTAAGTGAGGCTGAACTGCCAGGAGATAAAGAAGAGCTTAGTCAAGCAGGTGCTGCTCTTTTAAAAGCAATAACAGCTCCTTTACCACCAGGACTTGACAAGCTGAGTGCTGTGACTGAACAAAAAAGGCGTCTTGATAAACTTAGAGCAAAATTTTCCATAATTGTTGCCAGGCATCTAAATAACCTCTTCATACATTTGGTATGTATATTTAAATAAACAAATAAAACAAATTTTCAGAATATATACTATGACATATTATCTGCTTTATAGGGTAATGATGTTGGAGATGTATCAATGTCAGTGACAGATTTAATTCTTCCAACACATCAAACAGTTCATCATGAACTTGAACCATACACTGAATTGATGCAATTGCTAAAAGCATTAGATAATAAGGCCTTTGTGCAATTAACCAAGGTTTATACAGATACAATGAGTAAGTTGTATAAAAGAGATTTAAAACGATTCTTTGAAGAAGCCAAAAACAAACTTATTTGCAAACGTTTTCCAGGTGGGTGTAATACATATTTTTATTTCTAATTAAAATAAGCTTCATTTTGTTTTTAATGATGAAATATTTTTCCAGCAAACACATCAAAATCTAGTGGCCAGAAAGCAGAAGATTTATTAAACCCAGCACCCATTTGTTTATTAAGTGGCGAAACATGGGCACCTGTAGGAGAAGGGAATCTTTTGGATTCAGTTTTGGATTGTATGCTGTCACAGATGCAACCAGTTTGTCTTGCTGAACAAGCTTTTTGTATTTTATTTTTGCAATTAGATTCTGTTCTTTCCCCATCAAAAGTACGTAAATCATTGATACGGATATATTGCAATAGTTAACAACTAAATATTTATCTGAATATGTTAGAGCAGTGAAATGGAAGAAGCAGATAATATTAGTAATGGAGCTGCAAGTCCTGAATCAGTAACATCTACAGCAAGTAAAAAGTTAGAAAGACAAGTTAATGAAGAAGTACGTGCAACAATGGCAGCTATATTTCCATCATTAGAAACTGAATTAAATAATTTTATTAATTTTCTAGATAAAATTGATAGTTTGTAAGTTTGTTTCATAAAACTTGGTTTTCAACCTATTTTTATTTTATTTTTATACTAATATGCAGTTTAATATTCTAGTTGGTGTATGTACGTACTGGTACGCTTATCACAACATGTTATGTCAGCACAAGATACTGGTTCCTTTTTATCTATGACATTTGCTTCTGCTTTAATTCAAGTTAAAAGAGCATTTGACAAATTTATGCAAGCACAGTTACAATCAATTTTGTGTGATACAAAAGTTAATCGTAGAAATAAATGTGGTATATTGCCATATGTAGAAAATTTTGAACCATTTGCAAGAACGGCAGAAAAAATCTTTAAGAATTCGGATAGAAAAGTTGATCTTGAGAAATGGTATACAAAATTAGTGAGTACGATGTTTGAGGCTATTGTTATTCATAGTAGAGATCATCATAAAACTCCACAAGAAGTTATTAAAATGGGTAAGATTAAAATTCCAGCAATTTTTGTATTGTTTTATTATATGTTTACTTATACTATTTATATAATAGTTGTCAAATTTTAGAAAATTTTCATCATTTATATGATCTTTTATCACAATTGAAAATATCTGTTCTTGATCATGAAAGAAAAGAAGCAAAACAAAAATATCAAGACGCTCTACGTGCGTATGTTACACAATATTTTGGAAGACCTCTGGAAAAGCTTAATGTTCGTTGTTTATATATCTTAACTAGTACAATTAATTTTTAAAGTAGTTACAATATATAATATACTTGTAGCTATTCTTTGAAGGCGTACAAGCCAAAGTTGGTGCTGGAGTTAAAGAATCTGAAGTCAGTTATCAAATGGCTTTTAGTAAGCAAGAACTGAGACGTGTTGTAAAAGAATATCCTGCACGAGAAGTTAAAAAGGGCCTGGAAAATTTGTACAGAAAAGTTGAAAAACATCTGTGCGAGGAGGAAAATTTATTACAAGTAAGTAAAATAGATATTTCTTTGTATATTTTGTTACTAAATACCCCATGGTGTATATTTGTTCATTTCAGGTTGTTTGGCGTGAAATGCAAGGTGAATTTATTGCACAGTATATATACATAGAAGAATTAATTCAAAGATGTTACCCAGATAGTATGGTAACACTTGAATTTACTATTCAGGACATTTTAGAATTTTTCTCGGAAATAGCACGATCTCACTAAGAAATTCATTATTCAAGAACTGTACAGTCAATAAATGCATAATATGTTTAAGTATTTAAAATGAAATGTAATTATAACGATATAATATAATTTCTTCACAATAGAATTATAAATATTTTTGCTTAGTAACATTAAAACATTTATTTGATCTTTAATTTTTCTCCAGTGTTAACGAAAATCATTAAAAAATAAGATTTATTTTGATTACTTAGTTTATTTAATGTAATAATCATACATTTATTAAAAATAGAATCTGAAATTTAACAAAACAGAAATAATACAATAATTTGTCTTCAATAAATTGTATTTTTAAAATCAACATATTTTTCTATTTTGTCTATAGAAAAATATAAATAACTAAGACGTGTTTGATATAGATATTTTTAATGAAATTTTATATTCCTTAAAAGAAAATAAATACAAGAGCAGGTATAATTTTGAACTACAATTTTTAGTTATAAAAGAACAGTTACAATACTTATTACATGATACTATGTTTCATTTAAATATCTACCTTAATAAAAAAATTATTCTTCTTTTGGTTTTGGCGTTGGTGGAGTAAAATTAAGCCATAGCATTCCATTATACCTTCCCTGAAAATTTAAATACTATTAGAAATCATTTCAATTAATATGTAACCTTATACTGGTATATCAGTTGAATATATCCACAAATAATACACTGGAATAACAAGTAACCCTTTAACCACTATAAAAAACTTGTTTTAAACTTGTTTCCTAAATAATGAGTAATTATTATAACACATTCTTCACTTTAATAAATTTAAGATAGGAAAAATACGTTTGACATTAATAAAAGAGCTGAAAAATCATAGAAGAAAGTAGTAATTGAAGATGTACGAAGGTTACAAATTGTTCCAGAATACTGTTCTAAGATTAAAAGTTAGAGTTATTTTATAGAGATACGTACAACTGCTATTGTAGCAATAAGTGTAACAACACTAACTGCTAATTGCAAATTGTATCTTTGATTAGCTTTGTCATATGCTTCTTTCCATGAACCACAAGGTACAGGTACTTCATCTAAGTGTGGAGGTCTAACATCATGAGGTATATCATGAGATGCACGAGCACCTTCAATAAGAATTTATTATTAATTAAACTTAACAGATAAGGATATACGCATAATAAAAACATATATATAATTGAAAGATCATATAAGAAAAGACATGAAATTTTATTTAAAAAATAAAGGTTATTGTGACAAGCTATATAATTTTATACGTATTTATTAAGGAACCTTTAGCACTGTTTAATTAGAAAAGGTATTTCAACATAACGTTATAGCTTAATAAGTAAATAACGTCATAAGTAATTGTATACACAAATATAGTATATATTTTAATTTAAATTACATATAAATTTATATAGAAATGATAATTCATAACTAATACTGAATATTTTCAAGATGTAACAAAACTAAGGAAAACCGATATTACGTAATATCTTCTAAATACCTAAATAATATAATGAAAAAAATAATATTATTAACTCACCGGTTCGTGTAGTTTGGATTATCGGTCGTAAAAGCTGTCGAAACATTTTATTATTTATATAGTGGCTTAACTTTAAATTAAACGTAAATTTCTATCACAACCCCGACAAGTACTTCCAGCCACTAGATACTCAATAAAACGACCGTGGCACAAATATTGGCATATGATACATAGAAAGGAAAAACACTTGTCGAAAATAATTTGATAAATTTGGAATAATTTCATATATTTTTTATTAAAAATTATAACGTTTGTTTGCGCTAAAATATAGTAAGTCTATATTTTTGCTCTAAAATTTTAATAATCATTATTTTAAAACATTCTTGTGTACGCGTCTTTAAGGCATTTAACCATTATACTTTAATCTAAAGATAGGCAACTGTATTCGCAAGTAATGCATAGATACGCACTCGTATGCGCTGACAGGTAGACGGTTCTCAAATTTTTTGAATTGAAATTTCTTTACTACATTCCTAAATTTTTTAAATTTGTATTTTAACAACTTAAAAATTTAATATTCCTCTCTAAATTTTAAGTTTTTAATTTTCCAAATTTCTGAATGACCATATTTGACGCAGTTTTATTCTATGTGGTTCAATGTACCATATTGAGCATTGAAATACTAGATTTAAACTCTATAAACATTCGCTTACCGTTTATACTGAACGAATGTAAAGAACAGGTTCCGCTCTTGCTCGTTTAGTATAAACATATCCTAATGAAAACTAATGAACATTGAGCTCTATCCTAACTATACCCAAATTTATTAGAGAGTAACAGAGGAAACAACTAAATAAGGATAGATTCAGTCTCAAGTTATATACATGTCATTGATTTCTCTCCTCACTTCATTATTACTTCCTATATTAAGTAGTGTTCTAGTTAGGATAGAACTGTATGCTAACAAATTAGAATACATTTGGTTAAAGTTTTATTTTAGCACATTTTAAGACATAAGTATTCAACACAGACTCTGTAAAATGAATGCAAGTCAGTAGTTTGATCATTACTACAAAATAATTCTTAAAATATTTTATTACACACATACTTTTGTATAATGAAAGTAAACGCATTTAAACTAATTACTTTTTCTCTTTTTGTACATAATGATTACAAAAGTAAATAATAAAAATACTCATTATTATGTATATTCTCAAGTAGATAATATGTATGTTTTTTTTTACTTATCAGCAAAGGGAAACAATTGTTTCATATCCACCATTTTACATTTTTAATGTTACACTTAATTTGTTCCTGGAAACGTATATTAATATAATGCCAATTTTATTATTTGATTTTAAACACTTATATTGCATTATGAAATTTCCAGCTAATATAGCTCAAGAAATAATGCAATTTGACTTTTCTTGTACATTTCCATCTGCTTTTTCAATTTCAATCAATAACGTATGAAAAATATCTGCAACAGACTAAAATGAAACAACAGATTATGTTACATTAGTAGGCATTACTAGAACTAATAACATAAATGCATAATAACATTAAAGATAATAATATACATATACCTCATTTTGTTTTGCACTGGTTTCTAGGAAGGCTGCATGCCAAGAGTCTGCTAATCGTTTGCCCTGTTCTGTTGTTATCATTCGATCTACGTACAAATCTGTTTTATTTCCTACTAATACAATTGGAACACTAAAATATAAACATATATTTTGTTAGATATAACATTAAGGTATTCATTTTTATACATAAAATAAATAAGTAATTAATTAATAACATACTGGACTTTTCCTGTTATATCCAATAACTTGTCATAAATAATTTGTACAACTTCAAAACTCTTTGCACTGGTTATGCTATATACCAAGACATAACCATGGATGTCCATAGAATACTGTGCAGGAAATATACTATATTCATCCTGACCTGCTGTATCTACCAACTTAACTTCATAATCTTGACTATTTACTCTGGTACTTTTTGTAAATGCTGAAAAACATGTAAATGAATTGTATAAGAAGCAATAATAAACTCATTAGTAGAACCTACATCTTTTAAAATTTTCCTGCACTTTTAAATCACATTTATAAAATGTTTACTTAAGTTCAAATATATCCAAAAGATATTACAAAATATGTTAATATATTCTTCCCATCTAAATTTAACACATTGAATGCCATGGGGAACACCAGTAACTGGCAACTCCCAAGATTATTAAGAATACATAATTTGAATAAATTTTGATGTGAAAACATAAAAAAGGCATTTCAGCACTACAGGGAATACAGATGGACCCTCATTAAGATAAATGTATTACACGTGATTACATATTTTAACTTATCTGTTGCAAATAATATTTCACTATAATATGTAACACATAATATAAAATTTATATTGAACAGCAGCCAAGCTATATAGAATTAGCATGACACTCAACATATTAAAAAAATGGTTTTCAAACAAGATGTAGGATACTACCGTATTAAGTGCATTTAACATAGCAAATAGAAATCATAAATTATACTTAAATCTTACACAGAACCGAAATAGTAATAATTGAAGTAATAATTCATGCATATTACTAACGATGCATCATGCTGTAATGAAATCAATTTTGTAGATTGTGTTGATTCTTGTACTTGAATATATATGAAAAAAATTGAAGAAATTTGAACGATTAATTGGCTAAAAAAACCAGTCTTAAAAAACAGCATATAATCTGTCACAAAATTTCACCTTACCATTTACGTTTACATTGTATTGTAGAAATATAATTATATGCAGTGAAATTAAATCAGGTGCCTTCTAACTTCTAAAATTTAGTCAAATCTTAAACATTTAAAATAATATGTTTAATTTTATAATCAATATAATTGTAATTTTAATTTGATAAATGTACTTACATTAAATTAATACCATTTAAACAAAAATGGTATTATTTATATTATAAATGAATAGCAATAGTTACTTTACAACTAATAACAGTTATTGCATCTACAAATGTTTCTAAATATTTCACATTTATTTCGTAGTATACAAAATAAGTAATTGTAAAACAAATTTTTATATTTTTAAAGCCATAAAACTTAAAATTGGTAATGTAAAAAAGTAATTTAATAAAGCAAAATTATACATAAAATCAAAAATCAGAATTAAGTTTGATAATTATTGAATTTTTATAAAAGAAAAAAAAAATAATCTAACATAATTAAATATAAACTCAGTATCTATAATAATTTGTATATGTCAGTTTCTAACATTTTTATATATGTCTGAAATAAGTGTTAGCTGCATAATAAAAATAATAGTACTACTAAATAAACAGAATAAACTTTCTTATATTTAAAACAATAATATCACAATGATATCCTATAACAATATTAACAACTTAAAAACATTAATACTGTTTATAGTATTGTAAGTAATATACTAATGACTGTGAGCAGCATTACGTTTACTAGAATACAAATTAAACACATATGCAAACATTATTTACAAACTGTATTCAAATATAAATGCAATCATTCAAACTAAGCATTTATGTTAATAATTAATATATATAAAATTAAAACATATTTTAATGTAAATCTAATCTTTATTATATCGCTAATTCAACAAATAATAAAATTTGCATCAATTTGTCTCAATGTAATTTTCACTTACTTCATCTTTCTGTATCATTGACTTTTGTTACTAGAAAATATGTAAGGTGAGTCTAAAAAGAGTACCAATATTTATAGATATTTTTACATTTTAAAATAAATCAATAACCCCACTAAACATTCTCTTGTAGGTAATTTTTTTAAAATATAAATCCTTCAAATTGTAATGAAATGGAATTTTATTCATCTGCACTCTATTCTCATAAGTTAATGCTGGCTTTCAATTACATACTCATACCTAACTTTTTGATATCTGAACTATAGTCAAATACTGAATCCAGTTATGTGGGTATCTAATCTTATAATGAATGCTTTTAAACATTTGTTTATATTAAGAATAAATTACATATGTGTAGTCAAACATCAACTTCTGTTGTAGGATTAACAAAATAATAATGAAGAGGCAAATTAGCAGACTCGAATTATTCAGTTATTAGAATTACCTTGTCTTCAATTGGTTTGAATAAATTCTAGTTCTATCGTACTGATCATACATATACATAATAACAGGTGCATGCAACTTAAAAACAAATTGAAAAAAAGAACATAAAGAACTTAATAATATAAATGATATATCAATATACATTTTATGAATAATAAAAAGTACTTCGAATGACTATTATGATATAACAAATAATTTGCAAATTTATTTTTAGCAGATTTTTCTTTAATTTTAAAATGTACAATATGCCAGTAAATATTGTAGTCTTTTTAAGACTCATCCTATATGATATTCTATATCCATTATAAGTTAGATTTCCATTAAATCAAAAGTATAACTACTTTGATGCTTTACATAATTATAGAAAAATTAATTTATAGTTTCAATATGTACTAAAACTTGTATATTTGAATCTTGAAGCTAGAGTGTATTAAGTTCAGTGTTTCAAAAAAGTAACATTTTACATGTATCCTTACATTATTTAAATTCCTCAATTTTTGATATAGTAATATACAAATAATGTTGTTTGCTTAATGCACAAATATTTTAAGTTCACTTTTAACATTTTTGAAACATGTAAAAATACAATAGTACTTTAGTATTTCGTATATATGTATATTAGTATTTAATGAGCAATAAATATTAGAGTCTTCATCATTAAAACATTTGCGCAACCAGAATAATACATTAAAGGGTTAAGAATAAACAAATATATTAATTATAACAAACTTATAAAGTATGATATTTATGCAATGTACAGAGACATTTAAATAATATTTGTTGAATATAAAATCTCAAATCTTACAATCAGTGGACTGATAATATTTGTGCACTAAACCATCAATATGAAATCCATATCTTGTCTAAGGTTATTATATCTAACTTTATTTTCTTCTAAAACTTGGAAAGCATAACTAAATACACTCTGATTCTGGAGTCCAGATATGTGATTTTATTATACAAGTAAATTGAAATATAAATTTAAAAGTTGATAACCATTAACAATGTAAAAACATTAAAGATGTTTATTTTTGATTTAAGTATATCTACTTTATCGGATATAGTACATCAAGTAAAATATTTTTCTATTAAATAATAAGTTTTCATGAACCTATTATCTGTTCACAGCATGAATTACTAACAGAATGTGCAGAAAATACTACTAACAGTGTCATTAGAAATCTTTGAAGTAGCGTGTAAGACGATACAGGGCTTCTTACTATTTTCTATAGTAGGGTCATATGAATCCACAAACTGTCCCTCGACGAACTGTATGCTCAATGATGACTTGCCTATTAAAATTAAATAAATATCAATTAAATACATTATATTATTGCTATTAAATATTTTCATATACATGTATGAAAATTATTTATAACAATATATAAATAAGCTAGAACTATTAGTTATTTATAAATATTCGTTATACTGTACATGTTCTTTAACAGTAACATAATTCTTTATAATTTCACTTTTATCATTTTTTTTAATTAATATATATCTTAGTATAAACATAGTAGTAGTAGTAATTGTATTAATAATAATAATAAACAACTAAAAGTAAACATCCATTTATGTATGTATACTTTTAGAATCGTGTATTTGACATTAATATATTGTTTATTTATGGTTAAAAACAGATTTTTATGTCTCCTGGAAAACATACTCTTTTTTAATTATGTCACTTTTGAAAAACAGGTACAATAGCAAATTTAATTATCTAAAAGTATGTATTTTAGAAAAATTAAAAAATGGTTATTAATGCCGTTGTATAATATAATTGTTCTATAATGTACAATATTTTATCTAATACATTGAATATAATAGTTAGAACAGACATTTCAAATATAATGCATTACAGTAACAACTAATGAGAATAAAAAGTAATAATTATATATTTAACGTATTATTTTAATAAATTTGTCTTATCATTAATTATAATAAACAACTTTTATTACCTACGGATCTATAACCCATAATGGCTATTTTCCTCTGCTTTGGTGGCATTTTTCAGCATTTATATACACAAACGCTGCAACAATAGTCCATAAAGGCTGGTGCATGCTCCAATTAAAACCTATAAATAAAGACATAACAGAACAGCAAATTTGTAATTTTATTTTATATTCTACAAACAAAATATAATTAAAATAAAAGTTGTTTGCAGAAAAATATTATATGAAAGATTAATATAACATATTAAACTTTGTTATTATAATTATTACTCTATACTATGTATAGGGAAAAAAAAGCATTAATGTTATTATGAAAGTAAATAAAACAATGTATATAGAGTACATGTGCTTCACAGATTTATTCTTTATGTGTATACTTTTGGCATTATCACATTTGCTCTCTTTATTGCTATAAAATGTAATTACATCATGCATGTTTTATAAATAACGTGAACTATTAAAGCATTTGTTTGCTTATAACATTTATTATTATTAATTCTATAAATTAAAAGAATAAAAAGGATATGAAAAATTGTATATAAAATACGAAGAATGATTAATTTACTTTTTATGAAATTGAATAGCAAAAAATGTATGAGTTAGAAAGTATGTAAATATCATGAACATACATAATTGCATGCGCATGTATATATTTTTAATACGTCAATATATAATACACCTATGAATCAAATGGTAATTAATATTTACTCGAATTAAGGAAATCATGCATTCTTTATATTTCAAAATATAAATGGCTCACTCGCCGCAATTGAACTTTTCATTGAACTACGCATTGTTTAATGAATATGCAATGCACTATATACTTACCGAAAAAAGGGAAGATACATACATTAGATGCGTTTCACATTAATCAACATATCGATTTCTATTACTCGTCGATTATTTAACGAATTAAAAATTTATATTTACACAGTATTTCGCAACAGTTTTATCACCACTAACGAAGAATATTACAACCTTCACTCATTCAGTAACACGATACTGTAGTTTATATAGGAATGTAATTTTCGTAAGAGGAAGTTTGGAAGCAAACGATGAACTACGCACTTTGAACACATTCAAGGAATTCCACACCCTACTCGATATTAATTAGCGATTTTATATTACAAAATACTATATTACTTTTATAAACGTTTCGCAAAAAATATTTGCACAATGTTCTCTCATTTATTGAATTATACTTACTGAAAAATATATAACAATACGAGATCTCGCGAATGCTTGCCAGCGGATATTGCAATCAGGCACGCCATCTGCTAGCAAACATTAAAATTAATAAATTCAAACACATTATTTTTTTTTTACCATTTCGATTTTTATGTTTAAGAAATGTTATCAGAATAATATATGTAATGTTAAGTTATAATTATATCTGATTACATCAACTCATTCGTTAGTCAAATTTACAAATAATTCATTAAAGTGTAGAAAATATCAATTATAAAATATGCATACAAAGTATACCGATCAAGGTTTTTTTTTTAATTAATTCATTAACAATTGAATGATTATATTATAACCGACAAATATCTTTTAGTTGACGATTGAAATATAATTGTTATTTGATTGATTATTATCAATTAACTAATTGAGAATAATTGAAAGCTTTTTTAGTTAACAATTTTCCGATCTTTAATTAAACTTTTTCTAACTCCGAATAAAAACTTAACTTTTAATTTAATCACGTCTAATCAAAGATTAAAATTTATTGTTTAATCATACAATTAATTATAATTAATCGTGCGATTAAAAATTTATTTTAACCCTTCATTGCAATTTCTGCGAATTGATACTTAGAGTTTATTTTCTAATTAAAGATCACATTAATTACAATTAATTCCTTAATTGTGAGTTCAATTTTAGTCACTAATTAAATTGATATTTTTATAAAATATTAACATTCTTATTATTTTTTCTATTATATTTAACATTTTTTTACTTATTGAAAATTGATGTAATTAAATTAAAACTTCCTAAAAGTAATTAATGTGCATATTTTATGTAATTAGTATATTTGTTTTCTGTAGTTGCCAAGCACTTATTTTTATGTTAAATTTTGTTTTTGTTTGCTCAAAAACCTAGAGAACTTGAAACTATATTTTCTGTTTTCTAGTAAAAAGCGGTACGTATGTAGCAAGTAGTTCTATTTCAAGTACAGATCAGTAAATCGCAGTACACGAAAAATCAAAAGCAAAACCGGTTTAGAAATAACGATCCTTCATAAAAAAATTCACGTTCTTCGTATCGTGAAGCTTTCTCTAAGAGAATAAAGGAAAGTCAGCATATTTCAAAGAAAAGTCACCTGTGAACTATCATTTTGAAAAGATTTTCGCTTTACTTTTTTAGCACTTTTCAGTTGTGAATCTGTGGAGAAAAGTGTGTTGATTGTTTTGAATTTAAAAATGTAAACCTGTAATTCAAGGATTTATTTTACTGTGATTAATACTTTCTTCAATGAATTGATTTGAAAATCGTAAAAAAGTGCCACTGAAAGGTCGTTTTAACGCAGCATATAAACACATTCTCATAAATAAAATAGTGACGTGGAAGTTTAAATTTATGTTCCCTAACTACATCCAAGAGCGCGGTGTGAAATGCTGATTACAAACGTCAAACGACTTTTGTTATGTAATTCAAAAAAGAGAAGACGAAGTACTATATGAAAGTTTGATAAACTTTATGACGATCCTATTAAAAACGAATTTATTGTACAATAACTTACTACGTATGATTGATGTATAAAGAAGATTAATTTTCTCTAGTTTTCTTCTAGTTTTCTTCTTGAAATTACGGCTGTATATACAATAAACGATCATCTAGTACACAACGAAATGAAAAGATCGCTAAATTGAACTTTTAAATTAGATTTAAAAAAAACTTTTAAATTAGATTTTTATGTAACACTTGAGTATAGTAGTATTATATTTTGATTTTAATATCAGTAAGGTAACATCTATATTTACTCAGGTATTTTAATGGATGTCAGCTATCACGTGATTGAACAATTAATAATAGGATAAAATAATTTATAAATGAAAGGACAAATGTAATTTTTGTTTACTCAACGCGAATTCGATTTATTTTATTTTTTTTAAGTGCTCCTTAAGTGGATGATTTAGAAGTAGAAGTTCATTAAAATTTGTGCGTAATTCAGAGTTATAAATTATATTTTAAGAATAAATTATTGCTTACTTAATATAATAATTAATTGTCTACATTACCTTTGTAATTAGAGGGCCATTGATGAGTGACAATTTCAACTGAATTTTATATTTAAAATTTTTTTCATTTTCTAAATACTACTTACATTTTGTTTTTGAAATATTATTTTTCTAAAACATGGAATCTTTGCACTTAAGAAATTGTACACTTAACTTTAATTAAAATGTCATTATTGAACTAGGTTTTGCTGCTGAGGACTTAAACGATCAGTTAATTAATATAATTATTTTAAGGAATATAAATTATTGTCACATAGGGTTATTAAAAATTACGAATGTATTTGAGTGAAATCAGCAGATCAAATGAATAATTGTTTGTGTCCAATAAATGTTTTTATACAATCATAGTAACATTTATGTATAATGTGAATTTTAAAAGTTAGTACTTTCCCCTGTCTATTACTTTATATATCAAATGCCTATGCAGAATGACGTTGATAACTTTACTGGTTTACAACTAGAAGAATGTCGTTAAATTTCCTTTTTATCGATATAAGATCGATTAAACCAGCTAGACATAGCGAAAATTATTAACCGACTTCGAAAAAGGAGGAGGTTACTCAATTCGATCAGTATATTTTTTTTTTTTTGAATGTTATATTAATACCTTCTGTACTGAGAATCTATAAATAGACTTACAGGTGTAAGCGATTACCGATTGAAACGTAATTAACACATTAATCTAGTAATTAATACATTTGACCTGTTTTTCAGTAGAGAGTATTACATTTACCAAAATACATTTGCATATATTTGTATGTACTGCGACAATATCAATCTTATCTTATCACAAGCGTAAAAGAAAAGTTACATTATTTTTTAATGAAAAATCGTCCAATTAGTGGGTTAATTATTGTTTAATCTATGTATATGTGTCGTAATTATGGGGATGTTGTTAATATATATTTCAAGAACAAAAAGATACTATATTTTAATTTTTTATTACGATAAAGAAGTTAAAGTTCTAAACTAACATACAAATGGACTTGAGTTTGGGAGTTTTTATCGTCACAAGGAAAGTTGAACAAAATATTAAGCGTTTAAAATTCTTTTCTGCAAAGAAAACTGTTGCTTTTCTTTAAGCAGTTAAGCTTAAATTATTGAAATTTATTAATAATACGACAAATTGTCTACACAAATAATTAGATCTAATATTCACCAAAAATAAAGTTATAAATCCATTATATCAATTTTTATTCCTGCTTCTATGTAATTAACTCTTTCCAATTTGTTGATTTTAGTGATAGTTGCTAACCAAATTATAAAAAGTTGAAAAAGTACAAAAATCATTGATTGTCAATACAAATTGCATTACTGCATTTCAAAAGTTAAACAGATAATTATAACGATAAACAAAAGTTTTCTGAAATATACCAAGTCTTAAAGTTGACATTTATCGACATTTTCTTTCATGCAACGGATGTCAAAGTGGATTTTATCAGTTAATGATATCTATCGATAAGTAATGCCGACGGTCTAACTGGAAATTGCACGAAAAATGAAACAAAATGGAATTTCTCTTCAGGCTGGTGAAAAAGAGAGTAACCAAGTATGTAGATATAAAGGAAAGGTGGTACATTGAAATTCTCAGTTTACTACCGAGTCTGTAGATTAACATTACATCATGGAAATGAAATTATTGTTACAAGTAAATCGTTATTACATACTTAAGAATAATAATACACATGTGTTTTATAATTCATATAAACATTAAAATATTAATATCAGATGTTTCAGTATACTATCAAGTGTTTAAATTTTAAACAGTTACACAATTTTACACAAATATTTCGCGACTTTAGCGTATAAATTATTTTTACAATTGCTTTAAATTTAATGTATAATTCAGCAATTAAATCTTGATAATTTTCAGGTTGCCATACTTTTAATGGCATTACTCATTACTACATCTGAAGGATTCTTTTTCGAATAGTAAGTACTTTTACGTTTTGTTCTGATATAATTTGTTCTGTAATGATATTTATGTTTCAAGGGGTTTTTTACACTTAATTTCATAACACAAATCATCGAACGTTGTTTTTGTATTGAATTTTAGTATTTAGTCAAAGAAATAGAGAGTACACTCATGATTTATATTGCAGCCCTAAGAAGGTTGTGAGTGATTTTATACATTCGCTGAAGGCAAAGAAAGAGGCGAAGAAAAATCCGTATGATATACATCATTATCACGTTCATTATTATCCAGTGATACTGCCATCTGATCCGCCAACAATAGCACCCAAAAAATACGAATTAGAAAATATTTACAAGTAAGTTTTAATGCAATAATGATAATATTAAAAGAAATTATTTAAACAAAATGGAATGCAATAATATAAAGAATTATTTATTTAAAATTTACACAAATTAGTAGAGGAAGTAGTATTATGACTTCTGTTTGTGAATTGGTCCTCGCCCTCCCATCACTTTTACATTTTCGTGACTACTATTTAGTGTCACATCATTACATATGTTTTTTTTCTATGACAATGTATTTGATGAAGCAATTTTGCACTTATAGTATTGCAGTTAGAACTAGTTAGACATCGACAAATTCAGCAAAAATAAAAGTTTTTCGTCCTAACAATAAAAAATAATTTCTCATAAGTAAATAAGATTCAAAGACGTTCTAAAGACTTGTAATAATTGACGAAAGAAATGGATATTTCGAAGTAAATTTATAATTTTTGATATTGTAAATTAGTACGAACAAAATTTTTGGACGTTTTACCTCAACAGTAGATACATTTCTTTAGTTAACAAGAATATACATAACTATACACTATAAGAAAGTTTATAGAAGTTTCACAATTGCAAGAAATCGATTGTGTTTTAATATACATAGTTTGCAACACATAAATCGTAAATATAATGTAAGTGCATACAATTTCGCTAGTGCTTTTAAAGCCACCCTCGAGGAATTCATAAACAAAGAATTTGAGACAATAAATAGCATTTTTTAAGAAAAAATTTCGACGTATAATGCATGCAAAAAATGGAACATGTTAAATTATAAACATTTTTGTAAGAAACAATGTAATTGAGTGGGGTTGATTTTACTGTTCACACGGTGAATACGAGCTATAGTTTATGAAACAGTTACTTTATTACAAATATTAATATGATAAATTTCGTGTTCTCTTCATTAGCTGAAACTGTAGTTAACTTTTAATTTTACTATCAATATAATTAGTTATTTGCCTCAAATGAGTACTACTACCTTGCTGGCAATTTTATCACTGATTTTCAAAAAAACTATGTAGTAAATGCTCAAATTTCTTTTATGTATACTAGTTTTATTTTTACTTTACTTATTTTTAATCAGCTATCGACTTACTATCATATATAATTAAGCCAGCTTTTAGTATTTTATCATAAAATTCATGTCATAAAATAATAAGTTTAAATCGATCATATTTCATTGTACACATTTTTGTGGAATATAACTTAGTTACACGTTGCAATGGAGCTTGTATATAAATTTGCTGTATCATAAAAAAATTGTGTACACAATGTATACAATTTTGTTAAATTTAACACTGCTATTTTGATTTTAGATCATCTCTACAGCTGTCAATTTATATCAGACATTAGATACAAGTTCAAATTATATTATACATTTAAAATTGTCACTAAATAGTTATTTAAAAAGAATAGAATAACGTTCTGATCGCTAGCGTTGTAACATTCTGTACACCTACTTATATTAAGCTTAGAGCAAACTTGACATTTGAATTTTTAATGAAGTTATATATGTACATTCATTTAAATGAAACCAGTGATTATGCCACCATATGAAGTTTTCTTTTTATGCACTGAAAACAAACATTGAGAATTAAAAGATTTTTATTGTCAGTGAGTGTTATCTCTTTACGATGGCCGGAATTTATAATACGTGTCGTAATAATAAACAATTAACAATGTTTAACAATAATTGTTTACAATAATTGCAATCGACACTAGTAAATTTTCAATGTAACATTATCTGATCTCATTTATAGTAAGACATGTATCAGATAAATGACGGTCGGCACAATTTTATTTTGTTATCTTTTAGAAAATTATTAAATGACCTTACAAAATGACGCGATATTATTTAATAACAAAAGAATCATTTTTAGCCATCATCTTGAGACTCTTGGATGGTCAGATTATGGATACAAATATGTTCCCGAGCCCAAGATAAAAATTCCTTTAAATTTATTCAACTCGTGGAAAACTTCCGTACCATGGCAGGAGGAAACTGCAGGTAAAATGAATAAATATAAGAATAAACTTAATTTTATAGTGTTATAAATGATACACATATTACAATTTATGCTTTCTAATAATTTTATACTTACAGAAGTAGAAATTGTAGAAACAGTGAATCACGGGATCAATAACGATATATATGTAGAAATTCCAGTTAAAGAAAAAATCGTCATTGAGAAATCTGACTTTGACAAAAAATGGAAAAAGAGCGTTTCATAAAATTTATATCGCAAAATATAAACGCATGCGCAATGTACAGGAATTGTACATTTGTCGAAGAACAAATGGTCAGTTCTATAAAACTATCAAGGATATTTTAAAAAAGTGTAATTAACACTTTCGCTGCTATTGACGCATACGTTGGGTCTCTCTAATTATTTTAATGATATAGTAGACTTGACTAGTGTGTTTCTATTTTTATCGAACGTTTCTTGCTGTCATATGTTTTCTTTTGAAGCGAGAATAAATGCTGTGTCGCAAATGTTAATTATATGATGTTACTTATGAATTTTTTACAACCTATTTGTTCAAGTAATGGGTACCAATGAAATTGAACAATAATCGAACACAATGATGTTCAAAAAATGTACTGAATTCGTAAATATTCAGACTTATTGAAGACTTGTATAAAAAATATTATTTTAGATTTTCGTCTTATTTTTTATTACAGAATTACCTCATTTTTTATTAAGATATTAATTACATGATATCGTGTATGTAGTATCTCGAATCATAAAATCTTTAAAATTATTTTTATAATAAATGACCGATCAATTGCAATTAATACTGTACATTTTGAAATATTTATGAAAGTTGAAGATTTGTAAGGAATCGTAGAAGAAAATGGTTACTCCCATGAATAAATCTTATAGTACATTTTTCGTATAGAATTTTCTAAGGTATAAATTTTCTAATAATTAGTTTTATTATGAAACTAATACATAATGTAATATTTGCGAATAACTATACTTCACAGGATACTTTCTGTAGTAAGTTAGTCTCTCTTCTGGATCAAATCAGTAGCTTGTAGCAGTATCTAACTATTTCTGGTTACTTTTGACTTTCCGTAAAATTATTAGCCACATTTGCATAAGGATTTTTTGTATGTCGTCTCTCTCGTCCATGGGAATGATGGTTCACATGAAAATACAGCTTGTTGGAAATTATTTAACAAACCGGACATATTTTTATCCAAGTAGTATTCGTGATTATGTTTTATGTTTTATTTTTGTTTTTGTTCCAGTACAATAATTATCTCGATCATTTCACGAGTTCTAAAAATGAAATAAAAACCTCCATACAAGACAATTATCGCTAAATAGGTAGTAATTTGCATAATTTCTGTTTACCTAAATATTGAAAATGGTCAGATTAGTTTTATATCTTGAACATCCTCGTTAAAGGCTTTTTTATACTAATTATTTTAAAACTCACACCATTGTCAATCTTTTAGCAAGAACTTTCTTGTAATAATACTTTATTCACTGCTACTTTCTGGTCACTATCACTTTTAAAAGTTGAAAAATCTATTTTTTCTTTAAATTAGAAAAGTTATGTGACAAAGATAATGAAGTTTATTGGGTAACGCAGTCATTGCTTGTTTTATAAATCAGTTACTTTATTTGCAGCGATTAAATTTCCAGTACATAATTATAAGTTATATTCAACTTCTATCTTATATTATCTCACATTTAATAGAATAGTTCTAACACTCCGGTTCACATATACATTTTAATTTTATTACGTTTGTTAGCCCTTATCACCTCACATAACGATTTATTAGATATTTCTAATAAACGTTTAATAATGGAAGGAGGCGCCAACTTTCTTCCCTCGATACGAGTTCTCTGTTGCTCTAAATGATCTTCATGGAGATTGGCTGCAAGTTTTTTCATGTACTGATAATCCGTTAGTCGAACCACATGACTTCCCATTACTTTCTCCAACCGCGATTTTACCGGAGGGTAATTTATTCTGGAAAAAATAACTAAAATAAATATTCCGGTATCATTAAAATAACGGTTGCAATATTGGATTCATTTTACTTTCGGATATTTAATTTTTTATCGTTGATATTTGTGAAATATGTTATAAATTATTTTGAGAAGTTTTATATTTTGGAATTTCAGAATTTGAAAATTTTTAAATTTGGGAATTTTTGACTTTGGAAGTTTGAAAGTATGAATATTCCTCAATTTGGAATTTTGAAAAGTGTGTTTGTAAGTTTTGAAATTTAAAAGTTTATAAACTCGAGAACTCAAATATTTGATCATTTGAAAATTTAGGAATTTAAGAATTCGAAGACTTTGTAAAGGGAATTTGAGGATTTTAGTATTTTTAAGTATGTAAATTTTTAAAAATGATAACTAACGCATATCTAACATGTTCCGTTTCCCACCACATTAAAAGTCTATGATTTGGATCGATGCTAGCAAACAGCAATTTTCGTAAATCTGTAGTTGCTTTTTTATTGGTTTTTGGTTTTTCGTCTGCCGGCTCATTCTCATTTTTGTTATTTTGTTCTTCCTTTTCATCCGATTCTTCTTCTTTCAAACTGTTTCTGGCACCTTCACTTTTTCGCTTCTGAACTGTTTTTGTATGCATACTGGTTTTTTATTTTGTATTCCCGTTTATATTACTTAATATCGTGGATAATTAGATTAAAATGATTAATGGTTCCGACATTGTGTTTTTTTGATTTTCTAGAAAATTTATAATATAACATAATTATATAAATACAGATTATTCAATCAAATAAATACTAATGATTTTCGAATATTTATAAAAACAGAAACTTAAGGTATTTAAAAATCATTATATTATTATTTTCATCAGTCATTATGAAACTTTTAAAATATTCAAACTTCCTATAAAATAAAAGAATGATAATTTTAAATTTACTATGATCATGATTAAAATTTAAATATGGCTAATAGCTACAATTTGTAATTTCTGTCGAAGAGAAATCTATGTGTCAATTAAACGTCTTTTTATTCAAAAACTTTCTCCGTGTTTTTCTGTTTTTATTATTTTTAAATATTTAGATAGGTCAACGTAATTTTTCAACTTTTTAACATTCATTGTCATTAGAAAATTTTGGTATCTTTTTTATTTCTCGCGCATTACTTTTACTAACATTGCTAAAAATTTCTTAATATTTATTCAATCAAGTTAAACTACGTAGGTTTCAACCGTTTCGAGAGAAAATTGAAATTTAATAGAAATTTAATAGAATTAGTATCGTAGCATGTTGGAAAATTATACATTCTATGAAACTGGATTAATAATTAACTTAATGATATTCTGATCAATGCACGATATTATTAAACCTTGACCCTATGTACGAACGTCTACGCGATAATCGAATACAATGATTGCATATATCTTCGCGAGTATATTTTGTCTTCAAGTAGTTTTTTACCATTTCTTGCAAATAAACGTCATGATTAAAGGTTAGATTTTGCATCACAGTTACTACCATTGTACCTCATTTATTTTCCATTTCAAAAAATATAATATTTTTTACTATTTTCAAGTGACAGTATATTGATAACTTCATCGATATAATTTTTAGATTATATGACAATTTTGGTATAATTTCAAAAAATTCTAGGATTATGTAATTATAATTTTTGGAGCTATTTCAATAAATTTATTGTTAAATTTATTGTTAACTATACATATATTTTTCACAGATTAAAATATAAATGTTGTTAAACAATTTTATTAATAGTAGTCAATGGTAATATTTAGCATTAATATTTTTGTCTCTAATAATTATTACAAATCAATTAATATAGCTTGGAAGCTTGTGTACACGAAACCAATACTTTAAAATTATATATTGTTACTTTAAAATTATCTTTTAAAATTTTAATTTCGCTTATAACATTTTGAAAAATATATAAATGATTCAAAAAAATTTGAATACGCGTTAAACGTAAAATGATTTATTATTATAAAGCTAATAATTACTGTAAGACTTATTATTATAAATAAAAGGTGTTAAATTATCGTTACGAGAAGTGAAGAGTATATTTAATTTTATTTATACTAATATTATAAATAACAGTCTTTATTAAAATAAATTTATTTTTACCATTTTTATGAGTGAAATGAAAGAAAAATTCAACATTTAAATATTCCCGCGCAACAGTTTGCAGGTTAGTTTTCATAAATGCGATCCATTTCCAAAATATTAAAATTTACTGAAAATATTTGTAAATTTATTATTTTTATTTTTAATATTAACATAAAAAAAACATATAAAATTTATTTAAATCGAAAAATATAAGCAAAATTAATTTCAATTGAATCAAAATTAAATTTGGACTATTTTCAAATTTTATAAAATTGGTTGTCACAAAGCATAATGTTTTTCAAAAATATATCCATTTTTCATAAATAATATATGATTATAATTTAATGTTGAAGTACAAATTCTATAAGGTTATGCAATTGTAGACATGTTTGATGGTTTTATATAGCAACAAACATGGCGAGGTGGTTAGGGCTGGATAAAGTTGTAAAATTATTTGAAATAATAAAGGAAAATGGAGGTCTCATTAATTCTATGCGTACTCTGTACAGGTAATTATATTATTAAATACATAATATGAACAAAATATGATTAGTACTGTTTTACTATTTTAACTATAATTTTGTGCTGTGCTGACAAACCTAATAATAGAATAAAGTTGCTACTATTTATTTAAATATTTCAGTACAATAATAAAATAAGTATTTAATTTTTATAATAATTTTAATACTGTAATATTCCTAATGTTTTAGAATGGATGAGTTGAAAAGTGGAACTCTAGTAGGCGAGGATAAATATGGAAATAAATATTATGAAAATAACTCATATTTCTATGGTAAGCTAGAAAATCAAGTTCATTTTATGTTCAAAATAAATGAAATGTTTAAAAATCTGACATTTAGAAAATATGTAGTATTTCTTCTATCATAATTATAACACTATTATAAATATAACGTTATTTTATTGGCAATGAACATGAAAGAAAAATATGCAACATATAAGATTTATTCCTTACATCATTTTACTTTATACATATATTTAAAATATGTTACACATAGTAAAAAGTAATTAAACATAAATATACACAGTGATGAAGAAGCATGCACATTACATAGTGATTAATCGTTTTTAGAGTAACGTGCAAAATCTTATATTTAAATATTTAGATATGCCGCTCTTTTTATGTTCGATAAATGATTATTTAAGTTTAATTGTTTATTTTGTCACTATATTAATTTTTTACTGGTGTGTCAATTTGGTACCGAAAGGCAAATTAAGTTGGAGAGTTATCGAAGATATAATCGAGTTTCTTGTTTTTAGGTAGTAACAGATGGGTTGTATATTCAGAGAGAGTAGGTATGGAATACGATGGTTCTCAAGTTCCAGCAGAATGGTTTGGATGGTTACATTATAAAACAGATTTACTTCCACACCAAGATCCAGGACGTCCAAAACATAAATGGATGGCAGATCATAAAGAAAATATGACTGGAACTTATGAAGCTTACATGCCTTATAGTACTACGAAACCAAAAATCGAACCTTGGAAACCTCCACAATAATGTGTTTTCAACATCTGTTGCACATAATTACATGTAGAATAAACTAGAATAATTACATTAGTAAGAAGAAAAACATGTAATTTACTGTAAATAAAATAATTATCTGTATAAAAGTGTATACAGTTATGTAGTATATTGTTAAATATAGGTATACAATTTATTATAATTAACAACTTGAGAATTGTCAAATTTTTAATTTTTATATTTTACATGAAGTTTTTGCTTATTCGTGTAAAAAAAATGTTCTCTTCTTATCAAAATTAAAATATAATTTTTGTATTTAAATAACTTAATTTCATGACATTTTTAAGTTTGTAAAAAAAGAATCAGGAAAAAAACAAAATTGATTTACTGTGTACGTAAATATACTTTTATGTAAGAAAATGACTACTTAATATTTTTTTATAAATAAATATAGAAAAGGGGAACTTAAGCTGATTAGTAAATTATCTTTAAATTCCTTATGGAATTCGGTTTATTTAATCATATCTATTTAAGCATAAGTATCTGAAAGAAAAACATAGAATCTGTTTAAGATTCTGAACAATTTCTTTTGTGTTAATCAATATTTATGTAATAAATATTAAAAAATTTAATTACAACAACCTAAGCAATAATGAATTCGGGTTAATGTCCATAGTAGCCGACGTCCGCAACAAGAATCAATCAATCAATCAATCAATAATGAATTATAGAAACATCATTTTTACTTGAGTAAAGATAATTAAGTATATGAGTACATATGAATTATTTTCTTTAGCTAAATTAACAGTTTACTGATTGGAAGCCTATCAAACTTTTTGATGTCAGCAGTTGTTCACTGACAACCAATTAACCTTCGTTATTGATCATTATTGATTTTTTTATAATTCAATTAAAATAGTAACATTGATATATGCTATAATTATGCAATATATAATAATGAATAAATTATTCAACGATAATGTTCGTTCATTTCATGTGTCAAGAATAGGTAAAGCTGATTTTTCTAACTTTTTTGAAAATTCGCATTGTGACGGAAAATCTCCTAAATTTTCAAATTCATGAAATCTGTTTTCATATTTAGAAAATTTTTAATTTTAAATGTAAGTATTAGAAATTTTCAAAATCATAAATTTTCAACCTTACAAACTTTCAAGCATCGCATAAGAGTATTTTTTTTTATATCAACATTTACCCTCATCCGTAACAATATAAAGAAGCAATTTACACCTATCGACGCGTACCGTATATCATATAAAAAAATAATATCAATTTTTATCCTGGACTCGCAAACTGTAGTAATGACTCTGTTTGAATGTTAAAATTATTTTTAAAAATATTTAAATCGATTAGAGTAATTTTAAAATGTGAAAATACACCAACAATTACATAAATAAATGATATTTACTCGTATCTTTAAATGTTTTTAGTAAAAGAGAAAATTTAAAACTTCTAAAAGTTTTGTTCTATTGTTAGTATGAATTCTAATTTAATTTTGGAGGCATAGTTGAATTGTATGCACATGATAGATATATGTATACCTTAAAATGTAATATGATCAATTTCTTTATTGACATTTACATCAAGGTAGGCCAACATAGAAAGAAGTCACAAAAGAAATCCGTTATCTTTGTCCCCTGTTACTACTGTCATATTGATTAGTCCTGATTACCTGGAGTAGGGAGACAGTATAAAAAGTATGGACAGAAAAGTTCTGATCGTAAAGATAGTACAAGAAAGTTATGATATCTGATAGCCTAGAGACTTTTCGTAAAGGTCGAAACAGCGGAATATAAAAATATGTCTAGTTGAATTACTTTTTGACACGAGAACTAGCGTCACTGGGTAAGTAATATATTAAATAATTGTTATTAATAAAAAAATGTTATTATTAATTATTGCGTAGATTAATTATTATTCCCGTTTGTAACTATTAATTAAAATTAAATTAATTGCTGAAGTGCAAACTTCATCAATCGAAAAATATAAAATTCGAAATTTTTTGTTAAAATGTACTGTAATATTTGGAATTTAAACGTTTATTAAAAATAATTAACTTTGATATATAATTTTTACAACTGTTGCAGCCTGTAGTTATTTGTATTTATAATAATTTTTAGAACAGTAGTTATTAGTGAATTTTCAGTTGCTAATTGTTTTTTGCACATACAGGGTGTATAAAAAAGGTCGGAAGCCTTGAATATTTCGAAAAATATAAGTTTTCACGTAAAATAAGGTCACGTGAAGGTCACTTCAATTTTTTTAAATAGAACCCCCTATTTTTTATGCATATTATTGTAGCTTATCTCGAGATCTTTTCAAAACATTATAATAAATGATTTTTATATTAATTTTTTTTTTAGTTATGACCTTCCAGTGACTCTTCAAGGTCAAAATGATATTTCCAGTACATAGAACTTTTTAAACCCTACAACTTTTGTCTGAAACATTTTTTGATAAAACTTATATTTTTCGAAATATTCAAGGCTTCCGACCTTTTTTATACACCCTGTATAATATTATTTCTATCTTCACCCAATTAAATATTTCTTACCAAATTTACAAATAGAAATTGTTTCATGAAATTGATTAAATTTGCTATATAATTATATTACTAGTATGATATGCGATTTTTGATAAACAAAAATTGTTGTTTATTTACTAAATTATTTATGCAATTCGTCAAATATTTCCTTAATATCTTCTTGTATATTACGATATAAATAATATCTTGTAAAGTATTAGAACTAATTTAACATTCAACATGATGAAATATATTATAGGTTTTGATTAAATATGGTAAATCGGAAAACAAAATCGCAAATAAAATGTGTTTCATTTCAAAAGAAATTGTTAGTAAATGAAGCGATGGCTCACGTAAAAAACGAAAATTATTATAAAGCAATGTATCTGTATGATAAAGTAAGTTATAAACAAATAAAGCTTAACTGTTAATTAATAATATTCATTATATATATTTTGCACCGAACATTATTTTTATTTTTCACGTTGTCATTAAAAATTTATCTTAATTTATCGTTTTCAATAATTTAAGGTTAATTCTGTTAGTGTAAAAATAATCAATAAATAAATCTTACTGACACGATGTACCTAAATCGTAAATTAAAAATTTATGAATATTTAATATAATTTTTTGTATTTTTATCTTTTATTGTACATTGTATATCATATTTTAATAAATTGATCATTACATATTTATCGCTAATTCCTTATTTAATTGATAGTTTCTATAAAGTTTCTTTTTCTTTCATCAACTCAACCTGTCAATATAATGAACATGATTACTTTATTGATTGGCATAAAGTTTATTAATACAATGAAATAATTTAACTAAATTTTGTAAATTTAATTTTCGATAATCATAAAAAAACTTCGAGTTGGTTTTGGAAACCAAACGGTGAAACTTTGACGATATTTTTTAATTCTTATAAACAGAAAAGAAAATATTAATAAGCTACAAATAACAATTAGTGAAAAAATCATTTAAATAAATATAAGGCATGCAAGTTTTTAAGGTTTTAGTAGGCTATGTTATTTATTCACAATCAGAACAATAATAATATTTTCTTTTCTTAAAAATGTATGGAAATAATTAACTTCAAATCGTAGTAAAACTTGTAAAATTAACAAAATTAATGAATAAAGTTGTAAATATGAAAATATTTATGTAAATTTTTGCATCGGAATGAAAATAATTTAAATCGTTTTGAATTATCCTGAATGCTAATTTAGAAGAAAGTTCTAATTACTATTCAGTTTAATGTACACAATGGATCTTCATTATACACTATGTAATAAACTCACGATGATTGATTTCTTCGACCTGTTGATTGGAGTTCTCCCTTGAAGTCGAAATGTTACATATTAATAACTTTATTAATGAATTACTCTGTTATTCAAATATACCAATAACTGCAACAAATATGCTCTCCAGATTTTGTGATACACCACTTCATAACTATTCTTTGATAAAAAATACTTTTATTCGTACAACGCTTACATTTTTCAATAAATACATTCTTTATATAATTTAGTAATTAAAAAAACGATGAAACAATAGAAATAGAAAATTTATTACTACTTTCGTTACAAAAGCAAAATTTCTTTTTTAATAATATTTAACTTAATGCAAGTAGTTTTATTAAGACTTTGTATTTGTTAACAAAGTAAACAAATATTTATTACATATCTAAAATATTTATTTTAGATATAATAAGTTTCGGAAAATTTACTCATACTTTTCATTGTTTCTTTACAATTTTTGCAATTTCGTAAAATTATAAATTAATACAACTTTGTATACATAATCAAATACATAAATCTACAAGAATCAAATTTTACCCTGAATTGAAAGCAAATAAATTTTGTAACTAAAACACAAAAACTGTGCTTTTACCTGCTACTTTATTAACTTCTTAGAATATTTTTGTGAATTTTTGTTAACAAAATATATTAGAGATTTAATACCTTTTTAAATTATTTATAGTTACTCTTTATTTATGATCAACTATCAAATTATACCAATAACCCAACCAATCCTCCAACAACTAATAATAACCGTTTAAAATTATATTATACACGTATGATCAACGATTTTGTGCTAAATATGCCCGCATTGTTGACTGTTTCTAAGGAAACAACCCATCTGACGAAGGTGTCGATAACAACACGTTTATTCCGCACGCAAAACACAAAAGTACCTTACAGTCTTGTGAATAAAACGCGATAAGTGTTTCCTTTTAATTTTTCGTTGTAAAAAGTACCAGTGATTTTCATACTACAGCAACTTTAAATTAAACTAATCTAAATTTAAATTTAAAAAAAATCGTACACATTATATTATCAAATATATATAGAATCGATATAAACACATTTATTTCTTTTTATTCTCCTATCACATTGTTTGCGTAAACTAAAATTCGCTTTCACCGAAAAAGTGAACATCAATTTTGAATTAAAAGTACAAGAAATTTTACACAATGACCGAAGTAGCGTCAGAATCGACAGTCACAGACGCCATTAATACTAAGATTATGAGCATATTGAATCCGGCTCTTCATCATCATGATCTCTTGCAAAGTTACGTGCGAGCACCTGTTGAGGGTCCTTCGAATTCGAAGCAAACCGAAGAACCAGAAAATTTGAACGATCAGTCTCCCTCTTTGGGCATCTGTCTCGCTACGACATCCTCCGAGGATGTCAATAAAGAAAGTCAAGTTAGCGACAAAAAGAGGAAGAAGAAAAACGACAAGAAGGAGCAAAAGAAAGACTCTAATAAAACGTCCGTCGAGACAGAAATGAAAATTCAGAAGAAGAAGAAATGACGCCGACAGGACAATGGTGTTCGCCGTCACGAAGAAGTGTATACGGACAAAGATCGAGCTGCGGCGGTAAACATGGGTACCAAAGATATCAAACAATCACTGAAAATGAAACAGAAGCAAGATCGAAATTTAAAATTTGCCGAAGACACTGAACCGACCGCTGTGTTAGCCCTAGGATTGCGTGAAATGCGCCTCGGGGATGTTAAAATCGCAATGAATTGTATTAATAAGGTTCACGTTTCTTCAACTTGTTTTTATTGTTCACATCTTCTAATTAGTTGTGTTCCTCCTAAAATCGAAATGACTTATAGTCGATAATGCATTTTGTTTTCTTATTTAGTTCATTTTTAATTTAAAATATATTCTTCTTATTTCGGTTGCACTGCCTTACAAGTAAGTCAATCATTGATGTAACTAGAATTTTTATCTGTAATGGGCTACATTTAGATAACAATGCTTTATATTGCCATGCGTTTTATGCTCATGCGTTATGATTATGCTATGCGTCCTTGGGTTCATGTTCGGACTCCACTGTATAGGTTATTGTATCAAACATTTGGGAATATAGAAATCTGGAGAATGAGGGATTTCGAAATTGTAAATATCAGAATTGGGAACTTGAAAATATAGAAATTTGTATATTTGGGAATTTGAACATTTTTGATGTTGAAGATTTAGAAAGTTTATGATTTTGTAATTTAAGGATTTAGAAATATGAAAATTAAAGAATTTAAGTATTTGGAAATTTGATAATTTAGAAATTTGAATTTGAAAATTTAAAATTTTTTAGATTTGAATATTGGCAAGTTTGGAAATTTAGGAATTCGAAAATTTGAATTTTTGGAAATTTGGAAATTCAAAAATTTGATGTCATAGAAATTTGAAAATTTGAAAACTTGAGAATTCTGAAATTTCTTATTATTTTTTTTTTAAGTAAAATGTAGGACAATAGGAAATGATTACCTTTAATCAAAATCAAGCTTTTTAAATAAAATATGACATACATGATACCATTAAATATTGTTTCTTTATAAACTATACATAATTTTCAAATCGAACTTAGCTATTTTTAAATTATGAATTTACAATTAAAAAATCGAAATACATACTTGCTATGCTGTATTCTGTTAAATACATATTGTACAACAATGATGTTACCTTTTGTATAAATAATTACCATTATGACATTAAAAGATATAAAATTTTTCGATTCAAAAGTAGTAGTAAATTAAAAATTTTTAAGATGCATTTATACGAAAAGCATTTCTGTAAACACTATTATAAGTAATTTTTATAACATTAAAATTTAGTACTGAATATAAAATACTTGTATATGCATGTGGTCCAATTATATTATATATATATTATGTGTTCTTTTCTTATTAGGCTTTGGAATTGGAACCAAATGACAACAACGCGTTAATTGCAAGAAGTAAGTGTCATCTTCTTCTCGGAGAGGCTGAGAAAGCATTACAAGATGCTGAGAATGCATTACAACATAAATTAAAAAATGCTAATATGGCTAAAGCAATACATTGCAAAGCGGAAGCATTGTATCATCTCGGCGATTTTGAAATGAGTCTTGTGTATTATTACCGTGGAATGAGAATTCGTCCAGAATACGGACAATTTCGTCTTGGTGTACAAAAAGCGAAAAATGCAATACAAAATATACTACGCAAAGATTAGATCGACATAATATAATTTACGGAAAATACTCATATTTATATTACATATAATATTGTAAAAATAAAATTAAATTGTAGAATTTTTTTATAACAGTAATAATTGTTATTATTATCAACGTTGTAAACAAAATCTTTTAAAATTTTTGTAAAACTTTATTATACGGGTATTACTATCTATATGTCTAATTTCTTTCCTTTTCTAAAATAGCTATTATTTTTTTAATTTTATGGCACATATGTGAAAAAATTAATTGTATGGTTGATGTCTGCACATGTTACAACTGAAACTTATGTACTTATTATGGATCAAAATTATTAAATTTCGAAATCTGAGAATTTACGAATTTAACATTTATTATTTTTCCTGGTTAACAATAATTTATTTTATCTTTCAACACATATAATTGCTAATCTATATAATTGCTAATTGCTAATCTATATGCATGGTACAAGAAATAATTAATTTAATACTATACATTTATAATATTTATTTAAAGAAAAATGAATTATGATTAATTGTATAATATAAAAATTGTCTTAAAATGTCCTCCGTTTTTTAAATTCAAATAGTAATGTGTTGATGCAATCAAGAACATAGCCGTATGCTATGTGATTTTAAACACTAATATCAAAAGAACCGACACGAAGTATCGCCAGTGGGTATAGTCGACAATTTCAAAAATATCTCAAAATGTTAGATGGCTCTACTTTGTATAGAGGTTATGTGGACAATTCATTCTCATAATTTTGTGACGTAACATTTGAAGTCCTCTATAGAACGACAAAGGTTTGTTTAAACAAATTTTTAAGTGTAGTTAATTACGATGATATATTTTATATGTCTAGTAATGTATTATATCTAAAAAGTTATCGTTTTGTACTATTATTATTTTTATTGTCAATACTAAAGTTACATATAGGTTATAAATATGTTTTAATATTTTATATTCTAATAACATACTTGCAATTTGTAAACATATAGATATATAAATACATTCTTATATTCAGTATCATATTATATATATTCATTGTCACTTAATATTTATACCTTTTACAGAAATCATTTACAATGGCATCTTCTAACAGCGGTGGTGTAACTGTAGTTACACTTGGTGGCCGTATGGCCAGAGAAAGAGAACGTTTAATTGGCATGACAGATGAAGAACGTGCATATAGAGCAAAATTTCTCAAAAGTCTGGAACTAGCACCAGAGGAACCAATAATACCCAAAAATTTTAATAAAGAATATTATAATCCTTTAAGAAGATTATACATGGCACCTTTAAATAAATTTGAAAGTGCAATAACTCCTATGGTGGTAAGAGAATTTGTAGAAATACATAAGAGAACAAATTAATATTATAAAATATTTTTTTTAATGTTATACAATATATTTATTTGTAGGGTGATTGTGCTGCATATGCTATACGTACTTTATTAGGAAGGTCTATAATTGGTATTTTTGTGATTTATGGTGGATGGTATTACTACAGATATAATACAGCAGTATGTATTAATTTGCTTTACTATGCATTTTAATAGTAAGTATAATACAAAACTCATGAATCCTTCTGTTAGACCTGGATGCGTCAATCTGGTTGGAGAGTAATGAGAGACCGTGAGACTGTATTCCCAGGAACTCCAGAATTTCCCAAGATTACGGGACCAAAGAAACCTAATGAATATGCTACATTTGGCTTTGAAAAGTCTCCCATATAGACATTGTGAGAATTAACTTTAGAAATAGTCATAAATATAATAGAATAATTCAATATATATAGTGATTAATAACTCTTATTTTATAATTTATCATTTGAATGTACATAATATAATATTATAAATACATTAATAATACTAAAAATCAAATATTTTATATATTAATATTTTATGTGTTAGTACACATTTCAGTTATTTTATGAACAGTTTACTTACCAATATTGTTGTAAATACCACAATATTCCCGTGAAACATAAAGCTCTACAACTTTTAAATAATGTCGTATCGTCGAAATCTTTCCAACATGGAGAAATTTCGTGTTTCAAAGGAATGGATGTATTTGATTGAGGAAGAGGGTAAATAAAAATTGTTTAGTCATAATTGAGCCTCAAAAATCTTGATAGTTTATTGGCTCGAGTGATTCGAATTAGGGAAAAAAGCCTTGCGGCATAAAAAACCCCTTACAAAAATATGTATTCGTTAACGATTCTACGGTGAAAGTGTGTACGAGTATGTATGCGTTGTGTATATGGTTGAGTTGATTGCGGATTGATTGAAGAGAACAGGGTCTCGCTCAATGTTGTTCGATTTGCGTGATAATTCACGTTTCGTGAGATTATTCACGATGATCTATTCGAGGAGTGTAGGACTCACTCGAATAATGTTGCAATGTATGATTTTACCACCCTACCGTGGCCCATTCGAGGAGTGTAGGACTCACCCGAACAGTGTGTAATGTATGATCTCACCACCCTACCATGGCCCATTCAAGGAGTGTAGGACTCACCCGAACAGTATGTATGTATGATCTTACCACCCTACCATAGCCCATTCGAGGAGTGCAGGGTCCCGCTCGAATGGTGTTGTGAATGATTTCCGAACCACCCTGCATTGGTTATGCTACGTTGCGTTACGCGGAACCTTCTAACATACGATTGACTTTTCGACTCTCGATCCGAACCGTGCAAGCTTTAACGTTCGACTGACTCTTCTTTGTACGAAAAATCGCCTAAATACCCTCGCGTTTCCGAAGGCGACAGTTAAGAAACACTCTATGTTTTCATTCGTTAATACTGTTTAAAAAGAGAGGTACAGCTGTTAGCTGATTTATGGCACGCACGTGTTTACAGTAAGACTGGTTCGGACAGGATTTGAGAGACAAAAGGGTCCTCGGTGACCCGTATTTCGAGGTATAAACTACTCACAGCGGTCCGCGCGCTGAACCACTTGAACCCTGTTGTAAATTCCTTAATCGCGACAAAGGCTTCGGTTCGCGGCCGAACAAATGTTACAAATGATGTATTTTAAAAGTATTGATAATATATATAGAAACATAATTATACAAATTAATTTAAAAAGAAATTAAACTTGCAATTTGGTTTGAATGATATAATGGTTGCCCTCACCAATTTTTAATATTTTGTTGAAATATGATAACACAACATAATCACTCCTGTATAATTAAACATTGCAAAATTTATAAAAGGGAATTGAAATACTTTGATAAATTATTATTAATATTATACAGAGTGTCCGGTTATTGGTGTGCATAATTTTAAGTGGCGGTAGCAGGGGTGATACTGAACAACTTTTCCTTTGCTAAAATGTTGGTTGAATTTTAGTTTTTGAATTATTAATGAAAAACATTGACCAATCAAAGCGCGAGAATAGCGCGCGTCCAGATATGAGAGCGACGGGTTCGAGCATGACGTTTGATCATGGCCGTGAACAAGCGCGTTTGTACCGTGACAGTGTAAGTGCATAACAGAAAGCTGCTACATCAAAGTTATATCAAATAACGAATAAAACAATTAAGAATAAAATTCATTATTATACATTATTTACATGTGGAGGATAAACCTATTATTTGTTATTAATTTAAGCTGGCAGTATTGAATTTGTTCGATGCTTGCATTTGTTATTTGAAAGGAATAAGGAATAAAATCTAAAAAATTCTAGTTGCTGGTTACACAAATGCAAAACTACAAATTCCTACATATTGAAGGAAAAATAACTTTTTTCTTCAACAAGAAAAATTTTAAATCTAATGATTAACAAACGTATTAACAACTATTTACTTAAAATTCACTAAATATGCAGAAATAACTTAAATCAGATTCACCTATTGTTTAAAAATAATCCTGCTTCGGTGAAAATGTGTCCCTATGACTTGGTTGTTGCAACGATTCTGATCTTGACTTAACTTTGACGTAGCGGCTTCCTGTTACGCAAGTGTACTGTCGTGGTACAAACGTGCTTGTTTACGACCATGGTCAACCGCCAAACTCGAACCCATTACTCTCACAATCTGGGCGCGCGCTATTCTCGCGCTTTGAATGGTCGTTTTTCATTAAGAATTCAAAAACTACGATTCAACCAACATTTTAGTAAAAGAAAAGTTGTTCAGTATCAACCCCGCTACGACCCAATTGAAATTATGCCCACTAACAGTCGAACACTTTGTGAATATAACTTTCCATACCAAAGTTCGTTTTATTTAAGAATTACTTGGTCTAAAAATAAAGCATGTTGATACTTATGTATAACAATATCAAAAAGAATAGGTAATTTATAACCTTTACTAATTATGGGTACTAGCTAAAAAAAATCATAGGAATGTGACTGTTAATTTCAATTTTGTAATTCAAAAGTTAATTAATAGACTACCTGTTTTTTTGCTTGCAGCAAGTAATATGTAAAATATAATTCATTTAATAATATAGATAGATTTCGTAATTGCAAAATTTATGTTCTTCTGTATCATTAATTATTATAAATTTTAAATAATTATAAGTATAGAAAAATGTTAAATATAATTAATAGATCTTAAAATGCTTAAGACTGAATTATATACGTAGTTATTTATTTATTTATTTAAGGAATCCAAATATTTGCCTTTGTCGTCCAAGTTGATCTTCCTCTTTTAGAGCTTTCATAAGGTCTTCATTTAACTGCAATCCTACGTTTTGTCCAGTCTAGAAGCATATTAAATTGTTATATGAATAATATATTCTCTACCTCTGAAGTTTTTCCTAATAATTTATGCATTTTGTTAAATTTATAAATAATGCACTAGTAGGTGACAATGTTATTACCTTTAACATTTTCTTGAAAGTGTTAGGTTGAATGCTTCCATAACCCAGCTTAATCACAGATGATATTCTACCATTTGGTAATACTGACATAACTATACTGCTTGCACTGCATACTTCTTCTTCTGAAGTTGGATCCACGATATAATTATCACCAATCTATGAAAAGAAATTTAAAAAGAATATATGAAAACGTATTTCTTTTAAGTACATTATGCATTTTTGTAAGATTTGTGAAGGTAACAAAATATAAAGCCAAATGAAATAATAAAAACGTACTTTGCACAATGTTACAATGACTGGATAATTACTTGTATCTAATTGAATACAGTCATATAAGTCATCTGATAATTGGATATCTGGTTCTCCACCATCAAGAGTTGCAGCTGTGATTTTTGGTATTTCTGTACTATATAATGCAGCCTTAACTGCAGCACCCACTGTATCAAAAAGGTTACCTCCACACTGAAGAATCTGTGTTACACATCAATATTATATTTTTAAAAATATTGTTCAAAATAATTTTTGATTATTTCCATAAACATTATTCTTAGTTACCAAAACATCAACAAATATTTTCCAACATTTTTTGCTTGGTAAAATACATAATGTTCTTAAATCGAAAGCATTACGTGTTTGATAAGCAATTGTTAAAATATTACTTATTTCAGTTGCTAAATCATCTCCACCTTTTCCTTCAAATGCAGGAGTTGCAGTGGCAGAACTAAAACCAATATATTACAACTGTGGAATTGTAAAAAAATATGCATAATAACTTTTTTAATATAAAATTGTTTAGTTAATTAATTAATTGATGCTGAATGCATAATTAAAGTATATATGCTTATATTTCACTTTGAAACAGAAAATAAATGTTTGCGACAAATGAATATATTAATAATATTACACACCAATCAACAAAAAACTCTAACTTTCCTTCATTAGGTTTATCAGCATGAGGTGAATCAAGTTCAACTTTGATACCCACAAGTACATCTGTATTTCCTATACGTAATCTTGAAGATCCATGAGTTTGTGGCATTAATTTTGTTTCAATTTCTATTGATCGATATTCACATCTCTGTCTTCCATCATTTCTGAAGTCTGCCTTAAAAAATAATTATAAAATTATATCATTTGTTTACAATATTTTATTATTGTATGATGAAATTCATTAACTTACATCTACTCCATGAAGAATAAAAGTCTTTTCGCCAGAACTTAAAATAACCTCTGCCATTATAAAATATTTTTAATTCTAATCAGACGGTGCATAATTTCAAAAGGATATTTAAATTCAATTTACTTTATTATCTTTTCCACGTGAAAATCATGCAACGCGCAATTTTCATTCATTCTCAGTATGTTAGTTTTGATTGGTTTTAAAGTTAATTTTAGGTTATATTCGTAGTAAAGGCAGATTTACATTGATAAAATAGCACGAGTATGAGAAAGATGACTTCCTTTTTATCTTTCTCGCTCTTTATATATCTAACTATTGTTATCGTGTGTTAACACGGCTAATACTAGAATCGGTAAATTGTTATTAACCTTCATTTGTTGGGCATTTATAAATCAAATTACATCTCATGTAGAAAATACTTATTTGCATATATTCGTTAAAAATGAATGATTTTATTCCCTTTTCTTTTACGCTCATTGTAAATTGCATTTGTACATACACTACAGCGCACCTACTGGTATTTGGAAGTACCATACACTTTGAATTTATATTGTTTAAATCGTAACAGATAATTTTGTAATTACCATCAAAATAGTGGAGTTTATGGGTATGAAAAAATCTTGTAATACAAGAAGAACTATATAAATAACAATAAATATGAATGATACAAAAATTAATAGAAGATTAGGTCAGCAACTCGTTTATTTGGAATTCAATAACAAAAGCTTTTAATATATTTAAATTAGCATAAGATTGGTAGTAATTTATAAAACAGATATTCTTAATCTAATAAAACTTTAAGTTACCAAATTTGGTACATTTATACAGAATCATCTCATATTTCCGCTTATATTTATAATTATAACTAAATGTGTTATAACACAAATTCAAATGTCAATGAAATTTTATAGGACATAAAAAATTTAGTAATTATCATTTAATTTTTTATTAACGCAAGTATATTGAATCTTTAAAAGATTTTGCTTTATTTATAACTTACTTTTGTTATTGAAAGATGTAGAATTCTTTAAAAAGATAAGGAATGTATGATATACAATTATGTTAGATTTAAAGAATATAGTTAGATTAGAGAAGAAAGCCTCTAAAAGTGTTTTTGGCAATAGAGCCCCGTTTGCTCCTCAACCTCCTGCAAAGTTTTAGTAGAACAGTTCAGTAAGAGTATATCAGCTGTGAATATCATACTCAGAAAATAGAAATAAATTAAATTAAGGTATAGTTAAAAAATAAATTATTTGTGCAAAAAATTTATCTTTCTACTTTCTAAATTATGTTTTAGTCTATTTTGCTGTAGTTTACAATCTTGTATTTGTATCTTGTATTGGATAGTACAAATCCTATTTAACAAGATGTGTGAATTTCTACGTATAGCAAGAGCTACATATTTAATGATAGAGTTACCATTTCCGCACTTCTATTTTATAGATACATCTTAAAACACTTCAGTCAAGCATTCCTGGTATCCAATTTCTTTTTTGACCACAAAATATTATACAAGCTTTCTAATAAAACCTATACCAGTAAAATATCGCGTATGGAGTCATTAATTCATATATCACTTTTGTCTATAGCAGAGTACAAAAACAGTATATCAAGAGCACAACTATTTCTGTTTGAGAATTTTTCAAACAATTTTTCTATTGATGCTGATTGGTAAATTTTTCTGCTTCTATTATGCTGATGTTTACATCTACCTAAGTTATTCGTATCATCCTATCTCATTTCTTTAATCTTATAATTATAATAAAATGGAAATTCATAATATTACTCTAATATAAATAAATTCATTTTAGTATATATGGAAAATAATTATTTATTTTATTTATTATTTTTTTGTACTTGTCTTAGTTTATTACTATAAAATGTACTAACTTTCAATTTCTAGTACATCTATCAAATATATGTGTTTTATACAGTTCTAGTTCTTTTATACTTTCCTTTATATCTGATAATGCTCGATGATCATGTTCTTTGTTTAATGCAGGAATATCTGTATTCCACCTCCTACAAGTAAGAAATTTATACACTATTTAAATCTTCTTAAAATTATACAAAGTACTTGCCTAATTAACTCCTTAATAGTTGTGGTATCAATGATTCTATAATGCAAATAATCATTGACTAATGGCATATATTTATATAAAAATATACGATCCATATAAACTGAACTTCCTGCTAATGGACATGTTTTTTCCTCAACATGCAGTTTTAAAAATTCCAATATGGCTTGTTCAGCATCTTGTATTGTGATTTTACTTGAACGTGATGCATCAATCAATCCTGTCTAGGAATAACAACAATATTTTAATTTCTATTATTAAGTAGATATTAAATCTATATATAGGTTTTGAATAAAAAAATTAGTTCTCAAAAACAAAATACAATCAAATGAAACATTAAAGTTCCTTACTTTTTTATGAGTTTGTAAACACCAATCATTCATATTATTTAATATTTCATCTGGTTGATGTACAACTATATTTAAATCTTTACTTATAACTTGTAAATTCTTATCTGTAATTAAACATGCTATCTCCAAAATGTAATCTGTATTTATATCAAGTCCAGTCATCTGAAATGTTTATTATGTATATAAAATTATTTAGTCAATACATCATAAAAAATATTTGAAACATAATATTAACATACTTCCATATCTAACCAAACTATGCGATTGTTACACACATTTTTGTTGGCACTTAGTACGGTTACATTAGCTGTTAAAATAAACTGATTTCAAAATTCTTAAAGTATAATCATATATACATTACTAAAAAATTATAATTATTCAATATACTACTGTTATTTTTAAGGTTACTTTACAACATGTTTATAAACTTTAATTACGATTTTGAAAATGACGTGAAGTAGTTAATTGAAAATAATTGTTTAATTGTTTTAAGGCATGCGTAAAAATCGTTCTTCCACGATAATACATCATCATCTATTTTATCAAATTATATATTGTATAATAAAATACAACACTCTTTGAAATTATAAACTTTAAATAATGCAACAAATACATTTGAATTACGAGCTACTTATACGTAGCAATACATTAGACACCATTTTGACGCTATCACTTTCAGAGAAAAAAAATGTGGTGATCATCGGAGTCGTCGTCAATGACTACGTTTCCATCGAGGGTCCAAATCGGGTCAGAGTCGGGTTAGAGTCGGGTTAGAGTTAAGTTGCCTTGCCTGTTTCCATGGGATCAGAGTTACGTTGGGGTTGGAGTTGGGTTGAACATTACCAACTGCACAAAGTCAACTACCATATTCTAACATGTAAAGCTGAGCAATATTAATTTTAGAATATCAAAATAACATACAAAAATTATTTCTCAGATTACAAGATCACCGACAAAAAGTAATAATAACCTCTTCTACACCAATTAATACAGCACGTGATACACAATGCAATTTGGATTTGTTATGTTGGCAACACGAACTCGACTCTTGTCGTTTCCACCGAACCTCAACTGAACGCTACCCTAAAATTTTGTAGGGTAGAGTTCAACTAAACCTTTGGCGTTTCCACCGTACAAGCGCTGACCCCAACCCGACTCTAACCCGACTCTGACCCGATTTGGACCCTCGATGGAAACGTAGTCATTGACGACGACTCCGATGATCACCACATTTTTTTTCTCTGAAAGTGATAGCGTCAAAATGGTGTCTAATGTATTGCTACGTATAAGTAGCTCGTAATTCAAATGTATTTGTTGCATTATTTAAAGTTTATAATTTCAAAGAGTGTTGTATTTTATTATACAATATATAATTTGATAAAATAGATGATGATGTATTATCGTGGAAGAACGATTTTTACGCATGCCTTAAAACAATTAAACAATTATTTTCAATTAACTACTTCACGTCATTTTCAAAATCGTAATTAAAGTTTATAAACATGTTGTAAAGTAACCTTAAAAATAACAGTAGTATATTGAATAATTATAATTTTTTAGTAATGTATATATGATTATACTTTAAGAATTTTGAAATCAGTTTATTTTAACAGCTAATGTAACCGTACTAAGTGCCAACAAAAATGTGTGTAACAATCGCATAGTTTGGTTAGATATGGAAGTATGTTAATATTATGTTTCAAATATTTTTTATGATGTATTGACTAAATAATTTTATATACATAATAAACATTTCAGATGACTGGACTTGATATAAATACAGATTACATTTTGGAGATAGCATGTTTAATTACAGATAAGAATTTACAAGTTATAAGTAAAGATTTAAATATAGTTGTACATCAACCAGATGAAATATTAAATAATATGAATGATTGGTGTTTACAAACTCATAAAAAAGTAAGGAACTTTAATGTTTCATTTGATTGTATTTTGTTTTTGAGAACTAATTTTTTTATTCAAAACCTATATATAGATTTAATATCTACTTAATAATAGAAATTAAAATATTGTTGTTATTCCTAGACAGGATTGATTGATGCATCACGTTCAAGTAAAATCACAATACAAGATGCTGAACATATATCTGAATTCAATCCAAAATTAATCTCAATAAATCAGTTATTTCTAAAAAGTTATTGCTTATTGACTATTTAAAATATAGAAAAACAAACTCTATAGAAATAGTTACGCACCTGCCATCTCTGAGAGTACACTATACAATAATACCAGGAAAAATAAGCTACTATCAAAGAGTAGATATAACTACTCTATACCAGCACAGTATACTGTGCTACTACCAAAGAGTAAGGATACCTACTACTAAGCGAAGCTTACTCTTCATCCCTATATTCCTAAGTCCATGATTTGTTATCATACACAATGATAACAATTGAATTCATTCCAAATTGAAAACAAGCCTTCTATTAAATCTTTTATTTCAAGTATTTATTTATTACGCATGCTTATTCTCTTGTATCAAAAAGTAGAGGGGAAATAATGAATAGTAGGGGAACTTCATATAGTTTTTTGATACCGCATATACGAGTCTTATGTTCGTTCAAATCGATAATACGTTACTGTTACACGAATGTTTGCACTTAAAAATTGTATTCTTTGATCTTTCGCGTTTCCAACGAATTTAAATTTCTTGTTATACGGAATTGCAATGCAGAGTGTCATTAATTCCGTAAAGGGCACTGCACTTGGTGTTGCTGAATACTTAACCCCTGTTTTGAAGGTATGGTTATACGTAAATATGCAATCTTAAACAATAATACGTAAACAAAATATGTTTAAAACAACGTAATACCACATAATAAACATATTATAATTTTACATTCTTTTATTTTTGTTTATAGTACATTCTTATACTTTTATTATGTTTTAATAAATTCAGGATATGACTCAGAAGAAAATTCTAAAGCGATCGATTTTGAATTATTCTTTTATCACTTTATTATAGTTGTGATGATTATGTTAAACATATATATTTCGGTTCAGAATTTGTTTAAATGATACCATTTATTTTTAATATTTGTTTATATTTTTCATAAAAATAATTTTTATAATATATCATTTTGTACTATATGTTTTAATAATTTTTTTCTATTTTTTTACAATATTATATTTCTGAAAAAAAATTAATAAAAATTTAATCTTTATGCTAAATATAATTGAAACATGTTAGTCAAAAATTAAATGTATTTTATTAAGGATTTAATAGATTTTATTATATAATAAATGTTACTTATAATATTACAGGAAAGTAAATTTCGAGAAACTGGAGTATTGACTCCAGAAGAGTTTGTAGCAGCAGGTGATCATTTGGTACATCATTGCCCAACATGGCAATGGGCTACTGGTGATGAAGCCAGGATAAAATCATATCTTCCTAAAAATAAACAATTTTTGGTGATTCGTAATGTTCCTTGTAGTCGCAGATGCAAACAGGTATTGTTTTCATTAAAAATGTTTATAATTTTTAAGTTTTATTCTACATGATTTATTTGTCTTTTATTAAATAAGTAATAATGAATGTTACATATCTTTCTATTATTAATTTTTAGATTGAATACAGCAAAGATCAAGAATGCATTATAGAAGCAGATGATCCAGAAGGTGGTTGGGTAGATACCCACCATTATGACACCAGTCTTAGTGGAATTGAAGAAAGAGTAACAGAAATGACATTGGATGAAACACAGCTTTCTCAATCAATTGGTACAGAGGAAAATAATGAAGATGATGATGATGATGATGAAGATGCTGCAGATATGGAAGCTTTTGAAGTTAGTGGCATGCTGGATGAACAAGATAAGGTATTCTTTCAATATTATTTATATAAAGAAGATACTTTAAAATAACTACACATTCCTTATTCTACAATTTCTTTAGAATTAAATAATATATACTTATACTTTATAATGTGTAATATTTTGAATAAACTAAATAGTATACAGCAGAAACTACAAAGAAACCAGTTAAGGAAAAGTGTGAGACATTTTCTGAAGGAGAAATCATTCATACACGTACATATGATTTATACATAACATATGATAAATATTATCAGACACCTAGATTATGGCTTTCAGGCTATGATGAGGTTTGTTCCTTATTTAATAAACTTGTTTGATAGTTATAACAGCACATAGTTGATGATTAGATGTTACAGACTTTAATTATGATTATTTTTAAAATATAAAAAAGAGTTTCAAATTTTAATACATATTTTTTTACATAAAAGAACCGCAAACCTTTAACAGTAGTAGAAATGTATGAAGATGTTAGTCAAGATCATGCCAAAAAGACTGTTACAATGGAAATTCACCCTCATATACCTGGACCTCCTATGGCCTCAGTTCATCCATGCAGGTAATATTATACATATAAATTAGTGTTAAAAAAAATGCTTGAAGTTAAATAATAAACTTTTATCAAAATAAAATTACAGGCATGCAGAGGTAATGAAAAAAATTATTGAAACAGTAATGGAAGGTGGTCGTGAACTTGGAGTACACATGTATTTGATAATATTTCTTAAATTTGTGCAATCTGTAATTCCCACAATTGAATATGATTATACACAAAATTTTATGCTAACTGCCTCTGGCTAGAAGTTTTATAAATTTTCATTATACTTTAAGAATAATCGTAATTTTAGTTTTTAAATTTAAAATAAAAATAAAACTTAAGAACTGTGAAGCATATAACAATAAATGCGTATAAATTCAGATAATTGTGATATTTATATTTTTCTAAACTTTTATATCAGGGTATTGGTAAAGTAGTAAAGTATAGTCAAAGAGTAGGGATGCAACAAGAGACGACATTCTTTATCGGGACCTTTGAGGTCTCGAGAACATAGTCCCTTAAACTATTCTTTTTCGCATATCAAAATACTCCGAAATCGTATCCCCACTCCCGATTCATTTGGCTTGGGCATTTAAATTGGTTGTCTTCTCTGTCTTTCTCTACGAAGTAAGTTTCTTTGAGTGTCGACTCTTGTTCTATCTCTACTCTTTGATATAGTCATGAAAAAGTTAAAGTTAGTTATTTGTTGAAGTTTGTTAGGTGATATTTCACTGAACAATTATGCATAGAAAAACTTTGTTGTTTTTTGGAATCAAATTATCTCGTGTTAGTCCTGTGATCAATTCTGTATTATTAGTAACCGGTGAGGACCTTCCCTACGTCGTTATTTTCTCTAGGGAAACCTAGCCTGTACTTTAAAAAACTTACACCAGAGTACGTTGTTTCTGCTCGGGTTTAAAATGGCGGCACTTCTACGTTCTTTGTTTAAATGTTGCTTGTGGTGTTCAGTGATTGTAAGTAAATTTTAGCTAAATATTTCTCATTTATTATTTAAATTAATCATCATATGTAATATATTATTAGGTTTAATTCATTATTTAATGATACTATTTTTTATAATTTGATTTTTCATAGGTTAAGAACGCTTGGTGATAGAATTCAGGATAGTATATACTTTGACACAATATTTTACAGAAGATGTCGACTTTATATGATCAAATAAAACTTCTTTACGAACAGTCCTTATATTCAAATGTTATTTCTTTGGTAAGTAAATGTAATAATCAAAAATATGTATATATTTTTATTTAATTGCACTAAGAAAATGTGTAATGAAAGTACAATATTATCTATTAATAATTTCATCAATCAATGTATCTCATAAGTCTTTATTTTATAAACAAAATATGTAACTTTATGTACTTAATATAATTTTTCTTATACTGCAGGCAAATTTAGTACTATCTCTAAGTGAACACAATTCAGATTTATTGCCAGTATATGGAAAATTTCATATTTATGTATATTATGCTGATGCTCACTTTTACTTGGGAAAATATAAAAGAGCAGAAGCATTATATAAAAAAGCATTACAATTTCGTAAGTGTTTATTAAAATCTAAAGGTACTACAAAACCTTTAGAAGGCCAAAAAGATTTTCCAACAGATGTTGACATAAAATTTCAAATTCACTTATGTTTAATGAAATTAAAGAATTCTCAAGAAGCATTTCAAGTGCTGCAAAATATACCTGGTAAACAAAGAACTCCAAAGGTAATTTTAATACATTTAATTTTTAATGTATAGCCAATTTATAAGTGACTTAACTTTTAAGGTAAATATGGCACTTGCAAAAATGTTCCAAGAACAAGGAATGGAACGATCTGCAATAACCACATATAAAGAAGTTCTAAGGGAATGTCCATTAGCTTTGGAAGCTGCAGAAGGTTTACTTTCCCTTGGAATAAAAGGAATTGAAGTAAATTCATTAATTGTTGGTTGTGCATCCAGTTTGTCAAATTTAGAGTGGTTGAATACCTGGATTAAAGCTCATGCACATATACATAATAGAGAATATACCCATGCAGTATCAACATTAAGGTCTTTAGACAATGTTAATTTGTTAAGAGATAATTTCAACCTATTAACTACAATGGGAGAATGTTACTACTATGCAGGAGATGATAAAAATGCTTTGCTATGTTTAGGAAGGGCTAGGAACATAGAACCAGATGTTATGAAAGGGTAATAATATTTTTAAAAATATAAAGATTATGCTAATTTTTATTTTTAAACTATAAACTGTTTTTAAAATTATTATTATTAAAATAGGGTTGATGTTTATGCAGCAGTATTATATAAAACACACCATATTAAGGAACTTGAAAGACTAATTCCAAGTATAACAGCAAGCAATGAATGTACTGGAGAAATTTATGTTGCTATGGCATATTCTCTATATGCCACTAGAAAACTTGGTAGAGCAAATACTTTAACAGCACAAGCCTTGAACTTGAATCCAAATGATATAGAAGCGACAATTCTTAGAGGAAATATTCTTATAGAGCAAAAAAAATACCAGGATGCATTGTTTTTCTTTAGACATGCTGTACAATTAAAACCATATCGATATGAGCCACATAAAGGTTTAGTAGATTGCCTTGTAGGAATGCACAGGTTACGTGAAGCTCTCAATATTGCAAGTGGATCTTGTAAACAACTCGGACATACAGCAAGAGTTCTTACGGTATTAATACATTGCAGAATTTTAATACCATACTTTGGGCTATTGATTTTAAAACAGTATTTTTTTCTCACAGCTTTATGCATCTGTTCTTATGAAAGATCCAGTTTCTGTTGGAAAAGCAAAAAATCTTTTGGAAAAGGCATTACTTCAGGATGAAGTTTATTTACCTGCAGTTTATCTTTTAGCTGAAATATATGAACAGGAAATGAACTTGGAAGCTGCAATTGCACTACTTGAAAGACAAGTAGAAATTCAGTCAACCTGTAAATTACATCAGATGCTTGGAGATTTCTGGGCAAGAGTTCATAATGAGGAGAAAGCTTTAGATCACTATGCTATTGCTCTAAAGTAAGTTTTTAAAGTTATTCAAAAATATTTATTATCTAATGTTTTATGTTGATTGATTATCTAATGTTATATCATATTTTAAATCAGTCTAGATCCGAGCAATAGAAGGGCACTTGAAGGTATGCACCGACTAGACAACTCTTCCAATAAGCTAGATTCAGCTTACTATATGACTGTGAGTGAAGATCAGACAGATACGACTTATGATGTGGGTGATGGCTTACCAGATACTGATAATGAGGAAGCACCTGATGAAAGCGAAACTGAAGCGGTTTGGTCTGATATGGATTTAGAAGCAAATAGTCAATAACATAAAAAATATGTTATTGAACTAGATCTGCTATAACTAAATTAGGGCTATAGTTACCTGTTATTGTATGTAATTAACTGTTTGTTTGTTGATTTACTTATTTATAAATTATTAGAACAATTAATGGAATATTTTGAACAGTTAAAAGTATAAATAATATTAGTTTCTTTACAGGAATTTCACAAATAAGAAATTTCTTAAAATGCTGTAACTTATGTGAATAGAAAATTTTATATCTAAAGTATGTTATCATTCTTTTTATCAAAGTAAATTATTTTAGAAGTTACTATTTTAGGAGTATTTTTGTTGTTTTTGTTAAAAAATGACCACACTTGAATAACACCGAAATTTATTTTAGGAAAAATAAATTTAAGAATACCAAATATTTGATATATATGTTTTATTAACTTCTTAAAATTGTTATTATATATAATATTTATAACAAATGTGTGACATTTTTTTGATTAAGATAAAACATAAATGCGACATGACTCAGAACATATTGTAATAACTTATCAGGAGTTCTGAATTATGCTGAATTTGATGTTTTTAATCAAAAAAATGTCAAAAATCTATAGATAAACATTTCATGAGAAAAAAGAAATAAAAAACTTTATCCTTTCGGATGTATCCCAACTATTTCCCGAATTACGTGATGTCTTCGGGATATTTCAAATTTTTGTGCATGTAAAAATATTTTATAAATAATTTTTCTTTTATTAAAAATATTGTCTTATAATTTCAGAAAGAGTAAAGAAATTTGTTTATATTTTATTGAATCTTTTGTATTTATTTATCCAAAACGTATTGTTTATTCTTTTACATAATTCACTTTCAGAAATATTGTATACACAAAATAAAAGTACATACTACAAGTTTATTTACACACTATACAGAATTGGAGATTCATAGAATCAATAATACTACTAATACGAAAAATTATCAATTCACCTACATCGTACAGATATTTATCCAATTACTTTGAAAAATCAAGAATCCCGCAAGGACAAATTGGTGAGGTTATTTGATGAAGAAGAGGATTATGTTAATAATGACGTATTTTAATATTAAATTAAGATAGGTAACGTCATATATACATACCCTTTCTATGCAAAAAATCTTTGAATTGGATGTAGTATAAAACGCAGAATTCAGTCTTAAAAATAGGAAGCACGTATATTTTCCTAAATAATTCACTTTGGTCTTAGAACTGCTTTATATTATATTTATGTATATTTTTGTACATGTATCTTATCGCTTTATTTTTATTTTTAATTCATATTTATAAGCATCTTAATAAAACTGAAAGCATCAATATAAGACTGATGCAACCAATACATATATATATTTGGATAATTTTCACGATACGAAAATTAATAACTAGAAATGACCAGAATGCAGGTAAACGTTAAATATGAAAAAAATGGCCATGGATTAATTCAGTACATACAACTGGTCATTATAATAATTATTTTTTACTGGTCACAAGAATAAGTTTATCATTGCAATGATACATGTGACTTCTTAAGAACTTGTTTATATGCTTCCACTTATTTATGGTTTTCTTGTATAATTTGTTTATTTTGTATCTCTTCAAAAGTTTGAACCTGCACATTTGACCCTTCCAAGGAAGTAACGATAGAAGAAGAGGTGATAGAAGACGAGGAAGTAGAAGTAGAGGAAGAAAAGGTAATAGAAGACGAGGAAGATGAAGACGAAGATGAAGAGGAAGAAGGATCATCGTTAACGATTGAAATAATACCTGGACCGGGAGATGGACTATGTACAGGTCGAAAGGAAAAACCAGAGGAATCAAGACTTGAACAAGATTCTGGAGTTCCAACTGAATTAATAGTTCCCGGATGTAGACTAGATATTGCCACATCCAACCTGAATGAAAAGTACAAAACATATATTGAGAATCTGAGTTTACTTTAGAGGTTTATATAATTTGTATATAATATTTATATAATTACCTAGATGTAGCAGAAGTTAACAGACCGGAAGTACGTTTTAGTGGAGGTTGTAATTGGTGATCCATTCCGGAATCGTCTAATTCAAATTTTCTCTTAACCGAAGCTAAACAACTTGGTCGTATTGCAATAGGACTTAGACTTCGCCTAAATACATGTGCACAAATTTAATTAAACCCATAACAGATGTACATCATAAAATAGATATTGTAGTATTAAATAAATATACCTTGTAGCAAAAGCTTTTCTAGTAGGACTAGGTGACAAATTACTTTTCCAAGTGACTGCATGAACACCAGGTGAATAACACTGTCTCTGACTCAAACCAGACCTGGTTGGAGATGGCGATGAATACATAGTTGAACCATTTACAGATAAGTTTATACTTAATGGATCTAAAACTCGTTTTGGAATTGGTCGTGATTCTATTTTAAATTGCAATGAAGCTGATTCAGAATCTTTAAAAGATAATCCTTCTGCTTCTATTGTAAGATCTTCCCATGACTGAGAGATCTGTATGGCACTGTGTATTTCTTTTTCATGTGCTGCTTCACGACCAGCAACATCTATACATTCTTCTTGTCTCAACTGACTTACACGTGGAGTTAGCCTGGGAATTGCACCAGAACTCTAAAATAATAAATATTTCACAATTTTAAATATAATCAATAGAACAAAATATTATAACTGTACATTATAATTGTCATATTTGTTTAATTTTATAACTTATCAGACTACAGATGTTTATGTATTCAAGATCAATGTTAGCAAAGTATAAAAATGTACATGTATATTATGAACTTTTATATATGAAGAATATATAAATATCTGCAATCTACTTATTATATGATTTCTCCATGTCTATAAAGATATCTCCTTACACTAGTACTGAAGCGTCGTGTTCGAGGTGAACTTGAGAATATGTTAAAATTTGGTGTAACATCCCTGAAAATAATTGAAATTAGTCTTTGTTACAAAACCATGCATATGATTTTGGTATCTATTCTATTTTGATTTAAAAGTTAATAGTAAATACCTTGGTGTAGTAGCAGAAGGTGATGTCACAGACATTGTTGCAGTGATCTTGTTGATCATGGGTGCACTACTAGATCGTTTTAAACTAACTACTGTGCAATCAACATCCATGATTATTTGGACTAGCTATTTCTTGGTACATTTGTCTAAAGACACTAGTCAAAGACTCGAAGAACATTGAAGTGTGCACAACAATACAGTTCACTGAGTAAATCAACAGTTAATTTAGAGTGTAAAATTAATGTATATTATGTCTTTCTCTGTTGCTATTATTTGATAATTTGATAACAACAAACTTTGCCTCTTTGTACCAGAAATGAAGGAGATGCCGCATTTGAGTTATCATTTAAACTGCCGCTTAGATTTTCATTTTACGTTTTGACACGCTATCAGCATGTAATGTTTATAATCAATCTTTCGTCCAGTGAAATAAAATAGCCAAATGCAAAAATTGTCGAAACGTAAACTCCACCAAATTAAAAATATGCAAAGTAAAAGAATGAAATAGCAAAGTACAAAGAGTGGTTTAGATGTTTTCTTGATTTTCAGTTCCTGTTTGAACTATCGTACAGAAACCGGGTTAGAAATTGCAAATTGATTTAATTTCGTAACACCTCAGTGTATACTGATTTTTCAGTAATATCATTAATAACAAGCAAATTATGCTTTTTTCAATTGATCGTCTAACTTCCACCGTTTTTTATCGTGAAGCACGCGTATGTCAGACCTTACTACGATCCTTTTGCTTCCTTAGAAAAAATCTTTCACGATTGAAGCACACTGAATTTGTTGGTAGCCTTGAGTCTTCGTTAAATCCACAAACCTAAGAATACATGATCCGATTGTAAAACTAACTTCTATAAATCATCGAAAAAGAGAAAAAGGAAGGAGAATTATTATATCTGTAATGATCTTTTTCTAAAATCATAGTTTCTCCCTCTTTCTTTTAAACGGCGCAACATTTAAGTATTTTATATGAAACAATATATCGTAATTTTTTAAAATAAATAAATTGTTTTATATGAGCAATAATTTCATATAAAACGATGTTAAATATATTTTGTATTACAAATTTGAATAATTCATGCAAAATAAAAGGGACGTTTAATGAATCTTTATCATCACACTCTTCATGGAAATGTTACATTCGAATTTGATATTTTTCTATTTAGGAATATTTATAATGTTTGAAATCATGTTAATATTATGTTTAAATGTATTTTTATATTTTTCAACAAAAGAAAAAGCATGACAAATGTTTTTAAGCATATTAATTTTTAATGATCGAATTTCTTACATATTTTTACGCATCTTTTTCCGTATGTTTACATATCTCTTTTGTATCTGTCCTTATATTGATTAAAATTATAATATAATATTCACGTAAAATTATTTAGTAGAAATATTAATTTATTAACTAATTCATTTTACATACATTTGTTAGATTTTATTATTGAACTAAATGTGTCAAAAAATATTCCTTGTAATATAAACATAATTTATTAACGTTAAGAAACAGTAACAAGTGTCTGAGAAAATATCAGTAAGTAGGAATATTTATAAATTTGTTGTGAACAAACATTTTAAATATCTTAAATGCAGTATATTGTTAACAGTTCATTATCCCAGGATAATAATTATGTTACTGCAGTCTATTTTACTTCTTTTTCAACTTTAAAGTATGATAATAAAAACGTTTCTTAAGCAATATTAAAAAGTTTTATTTCAGCTTTGCTTACGCGAACTTTATCTATCTCGTATATAATATTATTTTAATTAAAATGAGTAATAATAAAATTTATAACAGAATTCATATACAAGATATGAAAATGAAGGTATTTTTTTTAAACAGTTATAGATTTACAGAAATAAAAGTTCTATAACTACAATGAATAACATTTGGTGCAAATAAAAATGCCATTAAATTTCTTATTAAAATTAATCTATCCTATATCTACATCCGCATACTGCATATTTAAATGAGTATCTATTATTTGGAAAAGTTCAAGTGGTTGAGGTATTCTACCAGTTTCCAGTTTGGACCATACTGGGACATCTAAAACATTACAATAAATATTTTTAATAGTATTATACTGATTTTATGTACTTATATATATATAACAACTGATAAATTATCATTTACCATTGAAATGTATTTCAAAAGCTCCTGATGATATGAGTTGCCCTTCTATTGCGTTACAAAAGAAAAATATCATAATACAAGAATAGAATCGATTGTCTATACACCATTGCCACAATGATGGTAATGGCTGTCCTAGGTCAATTCCACTTACTATTAAAATTATTAGCGAAATTTTAGCAAAACCCTAAACAAAAAGAAATACAATCATGTTAATAAACAGTAAATATTTTAAGTAATATACAAACATTTTATTATTACTAGTATTTTAGCAATAAGCATGTTGTATCCAGGAGGGTTGTAGTTTTCTCCCTCGATTTGTAACTCTGGATATTTCTGTCTAAGGATACTGACATACTCCTCGTAAACTTTTCTGTAACCGCAAGAATAACTGGAAAAAGAAAAATAAAATATTTAATAAACAAATTGCAGAAGTTTAAATAAAAATTTAAATAAAATAAAAGTAAAATGAAAATTATTATTTGTGCAATTAAATTTACAAAACTTACCAGTAAAAAAATTTCAAAGTCGGTCCTTTTGCACCAAGTTTGGTTAAAGAAACTTGATTATCATCGGCTTTGGTGCTCGATGCGCATAAAACAATGCAAAAGCATAAAATTAATTTCATACGACGCAGCATTCTTTAAGTCATTGAAATTTTATCACCTGTATGATTTCTGAGCAAAACAATTTAATTTCTACCTTAAAAAAGGCATCAATCAACCACCGTTTCAACAGTTATATATGTACTCTAAATCTTGATCAGTCACTTTCTGCTGCTAAGTAAGCAGAACATCACCGAATCGAACCGAATAGAGCCGAATCGTATAAAATACAAAATACAAACGACTATGTACAATTTTATCAGTTATCAAATTTAATGGATTAAATAATAACAATAAATGATAAATATGATTTAATTAATTTTATTCATATTTTTAATTTATTTAATTTCATTATAAAACAATGTTTAAAATTTATATTCAAATTTAATTTAAATTTTTGAAAGATAATATTATATTTCCAAAAATAGTAGAAATAAGATAATTCCAAAATATTTTATTACTTCTATTTAAAATTAGGTGTTCAACTATTTGTATGCATTAATTGTATAAATACCAATTATTTATAAAAATATAATATTCCGCAGCTTTATAATTAAATTATCAAATCCCAAATAATAGCGACAATTTCTTTTTATTAGTGTATATGAGCTGCTATTTTAGAAAGCTTTTTAGGTAAATTTTAAGGTATACAGAAAAATCATTTTTAGAGATATAAATAAAATATATTTTGGTATAATAATGGTAATGATCATAGACCTAAGAATAACTACTTTTTTTCATGAATAATCGTACCAAGATCGCGCAATTCGGTTAACTTCAGCCGATTCCCTACGTTGTTGCAAAGGTATTTGTATGTTTCCTACTTTGCCAATTGTATATACGGTGGGAAAAATATATCTGTTTATGACTAAATTTAGGAATTTAAACATTAAAAATCTCAATTTAAAATCTTTATTTAAAAATTTTGTATTAAATGCGCACTCACATGTACATAAGTATGAACACATGCCACGCGCATACATAGAAACGCATACACGCATACACTACCATGTATAGTATCACAAGTCTAAATTAGCGAGCAGAACATAAAATGTACGTAAAATGTTGTACTTAAAATGAAAACATGTCAATATGTCCTTACTATATTTTTTTGAATCATATTCATTACTCTGGTACAACTAATCATAATAGGAGACACCACTGGCTATTAATTGAAAAAAAGTTTATTTGTAATATTTATCTCCCATACTTTATATTAATTAAAAATATTCTCTTTAAAAGAGAAAATCTTACTGTTTATAAATAAATATTGCGAAATGTCATTATTTCGCAAATACAATACTTTTTAAATAATAACTGCTACGTATGAAAAAGGAAAATTCAAAATTGAAACTAAATGAGGTAAAATAAGGTGCATAATGTAATTATCTGTTATGCACTCAGTGGAGTAAAATGTATATCTTAATGTGCATAGATTTATTACGTTATTTTCTTCTTTAGGATGTAGCGTACAAGTGTGTAAATAAAGTATGCCACTCTTTAAACTTTCTGTGTACTTTCATAAACAATATTTTCTACCATTTATGTTCAAAATCAGAATAATTTTTTTTAAAGAATATTTCATAACTTTTTGAGAGACCTTTTGGCAGCAGTATAATTTAAGAAAATTGTAAAGCCAAATAGTTTCTTGAGAAAAAATGATTTGTTTTTTACTTTGACAATTGACTTGAGTTTTCCGTCGAACACGGAGTCGTCATAAATCTGGAAATCTAAAAAATAAATAAAATTACAGTAAAATAACAAAATAATTATAGTGTAAAATAGGTTTCTTGAATTTACCTCATAGGATCTTCAAAATAATCTGATGGTACTTGAAATAAATGTGGATCTATATCATTGCGAAAGGCAAATTCCTGAAAAGTGATTTTTGCTGTTACCGTAGGTAAGATAGGTATATCGATTTTTACAGGAAATCCAGGTGGTAATTTCATAAGGACAAATTCTCGTAATTTGCTGAAATGTTTAAACGGCGCTATTACTTCCAAAACATTGAGTAGCATATCAACTGTCAATGGAAAATCTGGACTCATAGCAACTGTTGCTTTAAATGATTTACTGCTTTCTTTATAAACAAGATTTCTTCCAAGAAGTGGACATTGACCAGGCGGAGCCATAATATATTCTTCCCAAGTAATATTTGATTCTGGTGGGGGATTTAAAGAAGCTCTTCTAACTGGAGGCTATAAAAATTGATAAATTAATATATATTGATAAAGAGGGTTTTTTTTCTTACCTTCCCATTTGCAAATCCTTGCGAACTTCCTTTAGTTAATGATTCCATAATAGCTTTATTCTTTTGCAAATCTTCTTCGCTTAAGTGTTCTCGTCGTTTCCTACTTTCCAAAACCATTCCATTGATTTGATAAAAATCTGCATGGAAAGGTCCTACCATCTCCTTCATTAAATATTTTAAATACATTTAAAAATTGTTTGAAGAAAAAGTAGCAAAAAAAAAATAAAGTCTCAAGTAAAGTCAGTAATGTTGGCCATACCCTTTTATCTTCACGAAATATCCAACCAGTTTGTGCTCTTGAAAATGTAATACCTTTTGTTGACATTTGGGCTGCCATGATATCACTTGACATGAGAATATCTACTTCATCCTCTATTTCTAATTCTGTTTCCTAAAAAGTGATTAATGGTAATTCATTTGTGATTGTATTAGCTAAAAGTATGTAATTGTAAGTGCTGAATAATAAAAATAAAAATAAATAAAAAAGTAATTTTACCTCATATCTCACTCTTTGAAAAAGTTTAGCTTTGTTATCGAGCACTGTCAATGATTTGCTTGGTTTCTGATCACCATTAAAAATGAACGATATGTCTCCTCTTTCCCACCTCATGTCATTGAAATCTACCAAAGTAGTATCCATTCTAATAGATGCTCCGCTCTTGTGTATTTTACACACATCAGAAGGAAGTACACGAGAAACTAATGGTACTGAAGAATGAAAAATATTTATAAGCTAATAAGTTATGAAATTATAATGTAATAGTGCTATTAAATACCCCAACTCTGAAAATCCCATTTTAATTCCATATAAAAATCACCCATTTGACGTAATGTTGCAACTAAATTTGGTCTTCTTTCTTCCATTTGTTCTCTTGCTTGTTGCTTTAATTTTCGCACTAATGATGATACTGTAAATAGATTTATATTATAAATTTTATAATCACTTATTTAATAAACAGCATATAATTAACTTTATTAATACTAACTAGTTTGTCTATCTCCATAACTAATTGCCTCTGCAAGTGGACTCCATCCAGCCAAGTTTTTTACCTTTACAGGTGCACCATGTGCAAGTAATAATTGGACCGATTCTAAAAAATTATTTATAATTTAATATATGTATACTTTAATCACATATTACTTATTTATTGCAATAATGATATAACACAGAATTTATACTTTTTCAGTCATTAAAATATAAAGAATGGTGTTTACTTATACTTTTTACTGATAAGTCTTAAAAGTGAGTTTTTAAAAATGAGTACATGAATAATGGTTTTTGTGTAATGTACATGTACATTGTTACATTTAAATTTATTTTCTCTAAAATCATTATTCTTAAATTATATCATTATTACAGCAAATAAGCGATATCAAATAATGACAATATTTGAAATGAATCCTTCTACCTTTTCTTCCTAACATGACAGCTAAATGTAACGGAGTATTTCCTATGGAATAAAATTAAATTTATATCATCAAATTATCCTTAATTATTAGTATAAATATAATGTTGAAAAACTAAATGACACTCATAGTAACCTTGTTTATCTTTTTCTGCAATATCATAAGTCCTAATTAAAGAACTTAAGGTTTTAACGTCTCCTTGAAATATGCATTTGTGTAAAGGATATTTTTCACTCTCCAAGTTCTCAGCCATGGCCATTTACTCTTATTACAAAATCTATAGTAATAATGGCAATGATCTGCTTCTTTATTTAATGCAGTCCCTCTTAATATAATAGCAATTTTCTTGTATTCCATTTCCAAAAGGTGGCATGCTATATTGAATAGTCATGCCAAGGTTTTCATTAAATATAAATCATTTAAGACTGTAGGTTTATCACTTAGTATTGTAACTATAATTAATAGTTATATTAATGAATAAATCTTATATTGTATTAGGTGCTTTGCAATTCACACTCAAGCAATGATACTTCTACATGTTCTTTAAAACATGAAGTTTAGAAAGATTGTATAATTTTGGCAGAATATTTAAGTTGTGTTATTATTCTTAGTTTCGTTGATGTTATTAGTTCTACCGCTGTTTTTAATTATGTTTTTACTATTAGTGTTAGTACTACATATATCGGTAATCGTGCTTATAACTTGGTTGGTCACCTCATTATGTTTATGGTTCAATGTCTTTTTATAAGAGTTAGAAAGAATTTATTTGTAAGATTTAGTTTGAATAAACTACAATTTATTACAATATTATTTTAAATTATACAGACACTAATATTTCCATTCTAAAACAATATTCCGTTGAAAACTAGTACTGTTAGTACCGTCTATATATGCAACATGTACGAGTACACTCCGGTGCAAATCTGGGATTCCTAGGGAAAATGGCGTCCAATGGGTATAGGCATTTTCGAAATCGATAAATGATGAAATTTTCCCAAATAAATATTTATTTCTAAAAAGAAACTGTTTATTTGTACACTTTACATTTCTAAAAATTAATTTCAGAAACTGCATCAGCATACTAATTACGTTAATTCAGCATTAAATTTATTTATATTAACGTTTTCATATAATTGAACATTACATTCATAATAGAAATATTGCGGTGATTAATATGTAAAAAAGTACGAAAACAATAATTTATTGTTAAGTAAGTAATTTAAAAAGTTGTAAGCATTTTTAAGATCTCATTTTTACATGTATTTTAAAATTTAAATTTCTGTGCGCGCTGCTCACAAACAGTGTCGCTACTATCATCTAGGAGTCGATAGTTTGTTCGATAATTCTGTATTTGTTCGTTAGATGGTATTACTGATATTTTTTGGCGGAAACATGTGTGGCAGTTACCATTCTGCATGTTACTCATACTAATGTACACGAATATACGTATAATAAATATATAAAAACATTGCGTTGTTTGGTTTTTCATTTTTAAAACGTTATTTCACTGTACTAATAACACTTCTGACAGAAGAATTTTATTAGTATTTTTCTTTACTATAAAATATCTTCAAAAATGTAAGTCTTTGTATAATACTTACTTTTATTTTACTGTATTTAAACAATAAAATATAACCTCAACATTTATTTGTGTTTACCTATTAATTTTAAGTTTATTCATAAATTCTAAATTTCTTTTAAAATTTATTGTATTTTCTTAGTAAATAATGTTTGTTACAGGTCTTCTTTAACTAAACCAAAATCTGAGATGACACCAGAGGAATTAGCCAAAAGAGAGGAGGAAGAATTTAATACTGGACCACTTTCAGTATTAACACAATCTGTTAAAAATAATACTCAAGTTCTAATTAATTGTCGGAATAATAAGAAATTGTTAGGAAGAGTAAAAGCGTTTGATAGGCATTGTAATATGGTTTTGGAAAATGTGAAAGAAATGTGGACTGAACTTCCTCGTACAGGGAAAGGAAAAAAGAAGGTAAAATACAACAATTCACATTAACAATACAACTATAAATCGGCTTTTTGTTTTACTAGGCAAAACCAGTGAATAAGGATAGGTTTATATCAAAAATGTTTCTGCGAGGAGATTCAGTAATTCTAGTTCTAAGAAATCCCTTGGCAACTGCATCAGGAAAGTAATTTTTTAATAATTTTCATACTTTGTAATTTATGATAAAAGTGATGGACTGGAATAAAATTTTTACTGTAAGCTACAAATGTGTGTGCTTTATTTTTAACAATTATATTTAATATAGCAAAATACCAGTTTGAAGTATTAGAAAGAAACAGTATATCAAATAAGACATGACATTTATTTGTAGGTGATTATACATGAAATTATTAATCTTTTTCAGCAATTGCAGTAAGATGTTTATCAATCTCCTGCTCTGTTAAAGTTCTGCAACAAAAAATATTTGATATTTAGTTAATTTTTATCCACTTTTGTAAAGAGTAATTGTGTTATAATATAAATAATTACCGAAATTTGGGATTATCTTTTGATACAACACCAACTTCTATTTCTGTTGGTTTAAAATCCACAGATAAAACAGTGGATAAACAAGTGATTGCTAACTGTATTGTCTCATCGTGATCATAATTTTGTTTCTTCTTCAACTTTTTCTCAAGATAAGAATTAGCCTCTGTTTGTTTAGCACCAACAGAGATGGCTCTATAACCACAATAATACCCTGCAGGATCAGCTTTATAGACACAAGGACCTTTCTCTTTATCATATGAAATTAGCATCATAGAACAGCCAAGAGGTCGCATCTCTGCATTTTGTGTATAAACTTGACTGATATCTGCAATGCGCCGACATAATACATCTACAGGGATTTCATATTCATACTTGTATTTAAAATTGGCAGCTTCATATCGTGCACGTTGTACTTGAGATCTACCATCAGCTAAAATAGAAAGTAAAATGAAAAACTGTATGTAAATAATAAACTATTATTTATTAATGTATATCTTTAAAATTATTTTTTACTTACCTATCATGCCTGTCATAAGGCAACCAATATGTTCTGTGAGTTGAAAAATATGAGTAACGCTAGAAGCATCAAGTAGCTTATCCTATAAATAAATTTTTGATAAACTTGATAAGTTTCGTTTATTTTATTCAAGATGAAATAAGAACAATAAGAAAAATCAGAAAACAGTATATAAACATTATTATTAAGAATAGTAAAGAAGTGAATTAAGGTTATCTTACAGGCACTTTCTTTTGTGTTGCAAATACAGCTGTATCGACTCCTTTAACCGCAACAGAAGTCAGGCCACTTTGATTGATCGCTTTAAATGCATATTCTACAAAATATTCGTAAACATTGTTTGAAAAAGTCCAAAATTGCAGATCACGCTATGTCATGGTTCCCGCATACAAAATAATTTAATAATATGAAAGACAGTCATGAACATTTGAAGATTAATTGTAGTTTGATATAAAATAGTTCTACGAATCTTACCTACTTGATACAATCGCCCTTCTGGCGAAAAAATTGTAATATGTCTATCAAAACCAGCACTACTACCTCGCGCCATATTCGCAAATAATCTTACTAGTTGTGTTCAAAAACTGCAGGCAACTTTTCGAAACGTCAAATCATGCTATATAATAAATGTATATTATGGTAGTTTCCATTGAACGACGTACTTTTTCTTATCCAGTAAACTTGTTTATTCTATTTTTATTTTATATAAAATAGAACCAAAATAAAAGTTTCATTCTTCAATTTCTTTTAAAATTTATATTTAATAATTATGTAATATTAAATTTTGAAAACATGCTTTCAATAAATTTTCAAATTTTTTGATTTTTTAAAAATTGTTAATTATTTTTGACTAAATAAAATTTTATGATGAACATTTGAATAGTACTATGTAAGTAATACTTCCACTTATGGGTATAATAAATCATTATTATGCAATTGTTTCAAGAACATTTAGAAAATTTTCTATAAATTGAATCTTTTCTATTTACGGTGTATACATATATATATTATTACTTCTACATTCTAGTACAAATACTATTCTTTATGTACTTGAAGATTTAATTATCATTTGATTGAAATCAAATTTAATCAATTTTACATACATGTACCATTAATATACATGTATTGTTATGTACATATTTAGATAAGTAGTTTAACATTGTCCTTCGTAGGCAAGATAATACGTTATCTTAAATTATTGCTAATGGAAATGATAAATACATCTTAAATTACTTCGAATACTATAGAAATTTGCCAGTATACTATTAACTATATAAGAAGATCTTCCTTTCGCAAAAATTCAAATGTCTGCATTAACAGGTAAAAATACAGTAATTAACAATATTTAAATAAATTTGAAATTTAAAACATAAAGGATAATTATTTTATTATTTGTCTAATACATATTGCCATTTTTTAAATATATCAATTATTCAAGACTACAACTCGATCATATGACTTGCCGCAACTTTTTTTTTCATTTCTTACACTATAAATTTATTGTCATGTTTACTGCAATAATTCTATGATTTATAATAAATTACATGTAATTAATATTACCAAAAAGTTACTGTAAGTCTGTTAAAACTTATGTTATAGATGATATAGGTATATTATTCCGATTGTAAGTAATATTTCTATATATATGTGTTTACATATATACGTATATATTGATTAAACAAAGTAAAAATGTTTTATTTATTGTGTATCTGTTTTTTTTTCTAAAACATAATATGTATTTATACTGATTTTCAGGTGATAAACAAAGTAAATCAAAAAATGGCACAGAATCATTGAAGGAAGAATTTGATTCTACTGGTCAGAATTTTTGTTTTTCCAAAGAAATTATTTAAAAATTAAAATTCTATGTTCGAACTATTGGATCAATATTTTATAGAACATCAACATATTCGATATAATCCCTTAAAAGGGGAATGGGTACTAGTATCACCACATCGAATGAAACGACCATGGGGTGGTCAAATCGAACCAAATGTAGAAGAAGACCTTCCAGATTATGACCCGGATAATCCACTTTGTCCAGGCAACATTAGAGCTAGTGGACAGGTAATACCTTGAAACATTTGTCCTTTTATTTTAAAAAGTAGTTGGCTGATCGATGCATGTTTTTATTTCATAAATCCAGTTAAGTAACATTGTATAATTTTGTAATATGTACTAAATATTTTTATTTATTTTTTCTAATAGATTACTCCAATATATGAAAACACCTATTCCTTTGTCAATGATTTTCCTGCATTACTAGAATCTGTTCCTAATCCAACAAAATCAGAAGATGAATTATTTCAAATGGATGCTGCTAGGGGTACTTGTAAAGTAATGTGTTTTCATCCAAAATCTAATGTAACAATAGCTCTGATGAATATTTCTGACATCAAAGAAGTGGTTAAACGGTAGAATATCATAAATTAAAACATAATCTGTTTCTTTGTTTTATAACATAATAAGTAACTTTATATTTTAGCTGGATCAGTGAAATGCTTGAATTGGGAGAAAAGTGGACATGGGTCCAAATTTTTGAAAATCGTGGCGCTTTAATGGGTTGTAGTAATGCACATCCCCACTGTCAAATTTGGGCTAGCTCTTTCTTACCAAATGAAGCTAAAATAAAAGATAGATTTCTTAGTGATTACTACAATCGTAATAAAAAACCACTTCTCATAGATTATATGCAGAAAGAACTCCTTAAAAAGGTAAAATGAGTTAATGGAAAAGGATAAACGTTTGTATTTTTAAATTGTTGCTGCTGTTATAGGAACGTATTGTGTTAGAAACACGAGATTGGGTAGTTTTAGTACCGTTCTGGGCAATATGGCCATATGAAACTATGGTACTACCTAAGAGCCAAGTGTCTAGAATGCAAGATTTAACAGAAGGACAACAGGAATCATTGGCAGTTATTATGAAAAGATTATGTACAAAATATGACAACTTATTTCATTGTTCTTTTCCTTATTCTATGGGATGGCATGGTATGATTAAGTACTTATTGTGTACATGAACGTATAAAACATTTTAATCATAACATTTAATTCATAATACATTTTACTTAAAGGTGCACCAACTGGTCAGTATATAAGACAGGATTTTCCTTACTGGACTTTCCATGGAATTTACTTACCCCCTTTATTGCGTTCTGCAAGTATAAAGAAACATATGGTTGGATATGAGCTTCTTGCACAAGCACAAAGAGACTTAACACCAGAACAGGCAGCAGAAAAATTAAGAAATTTATCAGATTCTCACTACAAGCACCCAGAAACAAGTTTAAGTAGTTTTGAAATAGAAAAATATACTAAATGAGTTCACTTACTTTATATACAACAATATATTTTTGTAAGTGTATATGTAATTTACATATACATCGTTTATAAAAATGTATAGTAAATATTGAAACTATATTCATTTTATGAATAAAAAATATAACATGAATAATCATGATTATATAACTTTAGATATTTAATACACTGGAAATGTATGATCAATCTTTCTACTCCAGGCATGAATTCCACCAATTACATCCTTTATTTTTAATGTACTTCCATTAAAAATCTGTTGAAGACTTCTCACAGCTTTTTGCGAATCATTTCCCCTTCTGCACATAACGTATACTAAAAAAAATATACTTCCTGTATAATTATGATTATCACAAAAAATTTTAAGCAAATATTTACATACAATTAGCATCATTATATTTTTCCTGTATTTCTTGTATCTTACGTTTTACCAGCGATACATTTTCGTCGTTATTAATTTCGTTTAATGGTATATTTATAGAATTCTTTAAATTACAAATTTCAAACTCTTCAGGAGAACGCACATCAATTAAAATATGACCTTCTGTTCCCAGTTTTAATGCTGTATTGTATTCTTCTACACTTATTCGTTCTTCCTCTCCTAATAAATTCAATTTTGGATCTTTATCATTTGCTTTGGAACCACAGAACTGCTCATAATCAATTAGCCTTTGTAAAGTTGGATGATCACCACAAACAATACAATTTACATTCTTTGTGCGCAATTTTATGTTCCGAAATTTCGTTTCTAATCCATCAAATAATAATAGTTGACCAGATAATACGTGTGGTAAGTTGAGTAAAATTTTTAAGGCCTCTAATGCTTGTAAAACACCAATAGTACCAACAGCTGTGCTTAAATAAAATAATAAATGTTTTTCTTATGAAGATAAAATATTCATTAAATATAAAATAGTTACAAACCTGGACCAAAAACACCACCATCACCACAGTTTGTTACTGTTTCTGGAGGGGGAGGTGTAGGAAATATACATCTGTAGCAGGGACCAAAATAATTAAATACAGATAAATGCCCTTCAAATCTTAATGCTGATGCTGACACTAAAGGCTTCTTGGTTAAAACACAAGCATCATTTAATAAATAACGTGTTGCTACATTATCAGTAGCATCTAACACTACATCATAACATTTTATTATTTCCAAAGCATTATTACTATCTAATTGAACTTTATATGGTGTAACTTTAATGTTACTATTCAATCTGAAATTGATATAATGTATTTAATTTATGTATCAATTGTATCAATTGTATCAATTGTAATAATATGTTAATTCATGAGTACCTATTAAGGCTTTCTGCAGCAGCATCCACTTTTGGTGTTCCAATATTTGCTTCTGTATATAACAATTGTCTATGAAGATTATTAAGTTCGACACTATCATAATCAATTAAACCAATATGTCCAACACCACTAGATGCCAAATATAACGCAGCAGGACATCCAAGACCACCTAGTCCTACAATTAATATTGCACTACTTTTTAATTTTAGTTGACCTATAATTATAAAAAAAAAAATATTATAATTAAAGATTAAAATATTTTGTAACATATATAATTAGAAAATATTAAATAATTGATATAAAAGGTAAATAATATCAATAAGATACACCTCTAATGCCAATTTCAGGTAAAAAAATTTGTCTACTGTATCTTGATATCTCAGCATTGTTCAAACCATAGTTCTGTAAAATTTGTTTTTCGCGCTTTAAAGCAGCCAGTTGATATTCTTTCTCGCGCAACAGTTCACGTAATTTAATAATTTCGTTAATCAACTTTTCCTCATCCATTTTTGTTAATCAAACTTCTTGGAATGTTCTTTTCTTTTATTTCAATAATCTAAAAGGAAAAGCGGTTGAAATTTCTTAAGGAAAAATACCTAATTAGCCTATAAATTGCTTTTTAATTGTTCAAAAAATGTCTGACAGTGAGTGTCTAACACGTGTTATGAAACTGTAGATAACAAACTACACCAATCGGCAAAGCATTAGATAAAATTTTAAAGTATGTAAATATAACATAACATCATTTATCGTTAATCTTTGATACTATCAATTGTAAATATGTAATTAGAAAATAACAAATCTGGATATGTGATGATTAAAACGTAGTTTCATATATAAAACACGAATGACAATAAACGTATTGCGCATTAGTACGCGCAAAAATGGTTAATTGAGTTATCGTGTAATTAACCTTTAATCAATTCAGTTGTAATAGATAAGATAACATTTTCATCATTACGAACAAATGAAAAGGAAAACAATACTTCTAAGAATATACACAATTATTTACTTTTGCAATGTGTTTTTAGCGCATTGTTTAGAAAATCGTAATTAATACAAAATGTAGATATACATGTCCTTTTTGAATTTTTTAAACACTTTGTATCTAAAGAAAAGTACAAAGCACGAGTAAATAAAATTATAAACAAAGATTAAAAATTATTAAAAGATTACCACACAAAATTTAACTGTACATTGACGAGTATAGTAGATTTATCTAGAGAAAATAAAGCCGTAGGGAAAGAAATTCTACTACTCGCTAATTTCTGATTGGTAAATTTTCACATTTAAAACTATATAAAATTGAAAATTTAAGAATTTACGCTTATTAAGATTTAGAACTTGAAAGTTTAGGACTTCAAAAATTTTGAAATTTCTAAATTTAAAAAATTAGAAATGTGAAAATTTGGAGATTTGGATATTTCGGCTGCTTAAAATTTCGAGATTACATAGACATTTGATTATTTGAAATTAAGGACAAATAGTGAGGTGTTCCTCCCTCTACACTCATTCTTATCTAAAGAAAACCAGCGTTGCATCCAACTGTACTTTGAATGAACACTATAATCACGTAGTTTCTCGAGTTTTAAAAAAAAATTAAGAAAGAGGAGATGAGTGGAGAAAGTAGAAACGATCAGTAATAGCTATATAGTTGATTGGAAATTACAGTACATGTAATTACAATGATTTTTACGAAGCTGCATGTTTATTTGCATAGTGTTGTGCGCAATAAGAACAGTACAGCGTTGGGCAAAAGCAGGAAGCTGATGATTAATGTCACGGTCAGCAAGGTTCTCACTCTTGACAAGAGTACATAGGAAATCATGAATTTCTAAGTGACAACGCGGGTATTGTTTGTGAAGAACTTTAATCGTAATAGACGTCAAGATGGTGGAACCGATTTTTGACTATCAGTTTCGTCTGATACTGATTGGTGACAGTACAGTCGGAAAAAGTTCGTTATTGAGATATTTCACTGATGGGAAGTTCGCAGAGGTATGTAGCGAGTCATTGTTTCGTCAACAACATCAAATAAGAATACGGAAATTGATTTTGAACGAAGAAAAAAGTTGTTCACGCTCCGTCCTCGATGTTGCTTTTTATGATGCTAATGAATTGAATCATAATCGATATTGGGATCTTATGTGATTTAAAAATATTATTTTGTCAATTCAGTGGCACAATTGGACCATTTCCAATTTCCTGGTCTAATAATATTCTTGTTGCTTTCCAACAGAAAAATTTAGGATAATAGAACATTGTAATTCAATATTATTAAAAATTACTTTTAATGTATTAATTTCCGTGTTTGCTTGTATTTATTTTATATAAATGTATTATTAATAACCTAGTAATGAATTAGATGTCTTATAAGTTTCTAATTTTTATATTAATCTTTTTATTTGCTTAGCTTTCAGACCCAACAGTTGGAGTAGACTTTTTTGCTCGATTAATCGAAGTTAAAGATGGAACAAGAATAAAGTTACAATTGTGGGATACAGCTGGCCAAGAAAGATTCAGGTACACTGTTTAATCTTTTCTTCGTATATTCAAGTCTTTCATAGTGAAAATGTTAGTCATTCTCATATTTTGTTTACTTTAGGTCAATCACAAAATCCTACTACAGGAATTCTGTTGGAGCTTTGCTTGTATATGATGTTTGCAATAGAGCCAGTTTTGAACATATTCCTCAATGGATGATGGAAGCTCGTAGGCATATTGAACCACATCGCCCTGTATTTGCATTGGTAGGTTGTAAGTTAGATTTAGTTACTAATGGTGGTAGACGAGAAGTTTCAAAAGAAGAAGCAAGAGCTTTTGCTGATCAACATGGAGTACATCATATTGAAACTAGTGCAAAGACAGGAATTAATGTTGAAGAGACATTTCGAACAGTTACACAGGAAGTTTATAACAGAATACAAACTGGTGAATACAAAGTAGAAGATGGTTGGGATGGTATAAAAACTGGATTTGCTAGGCCAGGTGGTTTAGATTTTAATCTAGTCGAAGCAGAACCTGCTAAAACTTCTTGTTGTTAAGTGAATATTTAATTTACTGAAAAGATCAACAAATTTCTTCACTTCAGTGGTAATATTTCACAGTTTGATTTTAATTGTATACATTACTGGTCTTAATTTATGTATACAATTAGATTGTACATATATGATTAAAATGTTTTAATATCAATTCAGTTGACAAAAAGAATGATTTTCTTTTACAAAAGTAAGATTTTGCTGCATTCTCGATTTTGAAGAAACCATTAACAGTAAATATAAAACTGTGTATAAGTCTTGATTACACGTTTCTGTACATAGCTTGTATAAATAAATAACTCTGTATTATTGAAGCACACAGATATTAAATTAGCAGTGTTTTCTATGTTATTTAAAGAATAAATTACATAAGCATGAATAACATTGTTTATAATACAAACTTAACCATAATGTTTTTGATATATTTTGTTGTATATTAACTACTTTGCTGTATAGAAGGAATAACGGCTGTGCTTCTTTTTCAGAATAATTTCTTAAATGATATCACGAAAGTTTACTATAAATTTTACAAGAAGAAACATATAATTTTTCATTTATAATACAAGATATTTATTTATAAACATTATAAAATAACTTTGAGACAAATTTTCAATATAAAAATACGATTGCATATTATATACTGTACATACATGTAGACACTACTAATGAAACGCTTATAGTAGTTATGATCTTTATTATTTCTGAAACTGTAGCAGTTAATACCTTCTTTTAAAGCCAGAGTTTGTGATAATATCATATACATATACATAAAAAGCCAAATTAATATATACCTATACTGCTATTATTAATTATTTAATTTAAAAAAACAGGATAATAAATTAGTTATTACAACTTAATTTATGGAAACAATATGAAGCAAACTATGGTGTATGTGTTCTAATTTAAAAAAATTCGTTACTGTGTACATAATACATCGAATGCTTATGTGAAAAATTCTTGTTAAAAAATTTATTACAAAATATCAAATTAGACGATGTACCTTAATTTTGTATAAGTTAATATGAACCAATTAAGAACTGTTTAGTTCTTAATATATTATATGTTCTTATAAAATACAAAATATATCGGTTCAAATACAAAGTAAAAGAAGGTTTTATATGATCTAATGTAATATTTTTAATATAACCATTTTTTACTAGGTGACATATTTTACACTTTTTCATATCTGTGTCCAAAATAAGTAGAATTTTCTGACTTTCAGAATATAAGTTAAGAAAGTAAACATTTTCGTATTTTTATGATACAAGCAATGTAGTCAAATTACAGTTAAACGTTATTTATATGACTTGCACTTTTTCTGCAAGTGATTGAGTAGAAAAGTATTTATTTACGTACATATTACATGCAGTGTATGATACATTCAGACAAAAATGCAGTAAACTTTGTATTTGTATAGATAATGAGTATAAAAATAGCATAAATAGAATCAATTTATGAAGTTTTATACGTATTAATTGTGGTATAAAGTAAAAATTCGTAGATATTTTAAAAAATTGTGAATTAATAATGTATACCTTGTCACTAAATTTGTATAGTTCCATATACAAACATTTACATTTTAGTCAGTAGATAATAATGAAATACTATGTGCAGTGCTGATCCATGAAATGAATTTTTATATTTGTGGAGAATATAAATTTGTTATATTAATAGTATCCAAAGTTATGAGTTCCTTTGTTTTAAAATATATTTTGTATAATACATTAAAATTGTGAATTATTATAAATTTCTATTTTATATTGTTTCGATTAATATATAGACATATATGTATTTATAAATATTACACATAATACAAAGAGACATATATGTATGCATAGTTCAAGAACATGTACTTGTAAGAATTATTTTCTCATGAAATGTGTAATTTTGTGTATAATTTGATAAATTCAAATATACGTACATTTTTGTGCACTACACATTTATAAATAATCATGTTGAAAAATAAACAATGTATTACAGAATGTTATATTATTTTTCCATAAATCAGTGTATGTACATAATAGTGAAGTTGAACCAGATTAAAAAATAATTTTTGCTTAATGGTTTAGATAAATCTAATTTTATATTTTTCTGGAAAGAAATAATTACTTGGTAGTAATAACTTGGTCGATCTTCATATATTTTAATCGACTTTATTTAAAATAAAAATACTATTACCGTTGTACAATACTAATAGCTTTCTTGTCACAAAGTTAAATTTATTTATCAATTTTTGTTGGGCATTGTATAAGTCAAAACACAATTGAGGCACTAATAAATACTAATCTATATACTTAGTTCAAGACTGTAATCAACAAAATAATCAAAATAACAATGAGATATAGAATTTCATATTTAATACACAATAAATGTATATGTACATTATATACAAATCAATATTTTTACATTATTGTATACATTTCAATAATATAGACTATAGATCTTCCTAATATAGTGTATTAACTGAAAAAGTTAAAATAAAAATTTTGAAGTAAAAAACAGTCATTTAAATGACACCATTAACAAGAAGTAAAAAATGTTAATCTGTTTTTAAAATAGCTTATTGTTGTACTTCACTGGTAATTATACATTTTTAATATCAACTATACCTAAATATTTTATGTTTAAATTAGTTAGATACTAATTATAAATTACGAAATAAGTTTTGTTATAAAAAATACTAAAATTGAGAAAATCAAACTATACAATTTTTTACTTCTGTTTGAAAAACTAATGTTAACAAAATCTGTAACTCAAAAATAAAGAATAACATACTCGATGTCGGATTCATTATTTGTAAAAATTATGCTACAAATATTTATATCGTTTTATGGTTTAAATTTGTTAAATTATGTACATGTTTACATTATACAAATTTTATGTTTTACAAGCATCTCTAATGATATTATATTATGAATTAAAATTTGTTACAATAGTATAATAATTTATAGCGATTTTCATTAGAAAATATGTGATATATAATACAATATTTGTAACATGTTTAAATCAACTTGTACATTGATACCATGTTTTATTTAATATAGTATGAAAATGTACTTCATTTTTTAAATATTATATAACTTATTAATTATAGTTTAATAATTCATGAAGTATTTGCTGTACATATTAAAATATTAAATTGTTCATAAAATTAAATCTAAAATTGAAAAAAGTTATAGTAATAATGATCTTTTAGTTGATAAAGTTAAATTTCAAAGATTCCTATTATTAGTCGTTATAAATTCTTATTTTTAATAGTACTCGCTATTTTGGAAGGGAAGCCTAAACAGTTCAATTATATTTAAAGTGACTAGAAATGTTAACTTTTTTTCTTTCTAACTATCATATATATTTATTATTTTGGCAAGATAACGTGATGTAAATATACGAAATCGTAGACAATTTCTTAGAAATACTCTATTCAGTATTTATAAGTAATACCTCTTTTCAAATAATACTTTCTAAAATGTTCCACCTGTACAATATACTTTAAGCGATTTTATATATATGTATATATATATTATATATACTTTGTATTTACAAAACAATTTACTATTTGTACTACGTATGTACAATGATAATCTTACGATAGAAAGAGGGAATTATAATTTTAAGTCTGTAAATATAAATCATGATTTTTTAATATGGAATGCCAGGTTTTCAACCTTTATGAAATAAGTCGTGAAGTAAACTTAAAGTATGATAAAGGTACTATAAACAAGTATAGAACAACGAATACTGGTTATAATTTAATTAAGGCTTTCCCCCATTAAAGTTTATTTCTTTTTAGCCATTTGGGACTTCACTTACTAAAGACGTTCTATACATGATAATCTGAATAGAATTTACCAGATAGTTAAAAACCTGGGATGGACGGAATTCTTGGATTTGAATAATTTTAAACAAAAGCAAGAAATATAGGCGTTAATAAAGAATGTCTACAATAAGAAAATTAATGTATTTTTGGTATATATTTAATAATAGAAATATTGGATAACAACAGTAAACCTGTCGTTATCCAAATAAAAAAATGTTAATCATTTTATGAAATCAATTGAGGCTCTTTAAAGAAATAAATTATAAAACTTGTATCTATAAAACAAGATATAAATAAGATGTAGAAATAGAAAAATTTCGTAGCCAAATATGAAAAGGGAGATACTGTGAAATATTACATGTATTAACAATACCTATATGTGTTAAAAGGGTGTAAAGTTGAAAGATTAAACACGGAGTAATAAGGCAAAATGAAGAGAAGTGCTTAATACGTGTTAGTATAGCAACGTATATCTATCCGAGATTCATTGCATACGCGGTGGGAGAATTCACACCTTCCGCTCCCTTATTTAGAAAATGGGCCCCAGAAGTGTCTGTAACATAGTAAAAATATAAGCGGTATTTTAAAAATATGTTACTTAAATTTGCCCAACAATTATTTTGTCATAAATATAATGCTTCCTGTGTTATTTATGTGTATAATTAAGATCTAATCGATTTAAAGCATATTTATACAAAATTATTTATATAACAAAATATTTTTAAACAATTAATACCAACCAATATTTATTTTTATCCAAGCACTTTATCTTGGAATGTATCTTTAATCATCTATCTTAAATTCTGCATTTAATTTAAAGGCAATTCATGACAAGATTTACTTCATGATGGTTTATCCTTTTTTACTTTTGCAATATTTTTACACATGCATGGTTTTGCATTTATATAATAAGTGAGGTATCAGTATTGTATCAGATCACTTATTATAGTTTTACTGCTCCAATGATTCACACCCAAATAAAATATACTCTTCTCTTGATAGCCAAAATGGATTACCCTCTATGTATTCAGGTGGCGTTTTATCTAGCATAATGATTGATAAAATATTTATGCACATTCATTTATTATTTAAAAATAAATAAGTATATTTTGAAAATGAGAATTATTTGCTCACCAGGATGTACAGTTAAAGGCAGAAACGTAGAACCCATGGCAACATTCCAACTATGAGTACCAGGACAACTTCTAACTTCTAAAATTTTGCTATGTTCAGGTAATAATTCTCGTAAATCTTTAGTCAATCTTAACTCAAAGCCTGAAAGATGTGTGTTGCCTCCAGTAAGTAATATATGTGAAAGGCAATCATGCAGTATTTCTTCTGATAAACCAAATGTTACATCTTTTATCACTTGTGGTAAACCAAGATTAATATACATCAGTTCAGGAGCAATATATAATTCTGAACCTAGGGAAACTCTCTGGAAAATGTTCAATTTTTATTTATATGTTTTCAGCATTTAAATTCCTTAAATATGCAATAATATATCTTAACATCAATTTGTACTAAAAATCTGTAAATACCATTGACATAAGATTCACTTACCAAAAATTGTTTGTTGTCAGCATAACTACGAACTCTAATACACTCCCTAGTTTTTTGACCTACACGTTTTTCTTCATTTTTAATATTGTAGCTTAGTCTGCATCTTTCTTTGATAGACAATGTATCCAAATATGATATAGGAATATGATAACATTCTTTTAGGTACCAATGCATAGCCTGTTTTAAATGATAAGCTACATGCCATCCACCCACGGGTACTAATCTCCAACGTTGTGGTATAACACGTCCACCAATTACAACAGCTACTGTTGTACTAAGAGCTCCACTATCAACAACTACACAAGTTTCCACATCCAGCATTGCACACGCTGCTAGAGGCTTTGGAACCAAACATACTCTATAATTTTAGTAAAAATAGAAATGAAGTTTAATTAAAAATGCCGTGTAAATTATATTGTCATAATAATCATGTTTTCTGAATTAATTTTAAAGAATATCTTTTTTGTTATTATGATTCTTTTAACTTACCTTGATACTTTAACTTCTTGAAATAAATAATGTAATAATTGTTTTCTGAGTGATGGATGCATAGCTAATGGTTCACAGAACATGAGCACTGCATTGGGTTTTCTTAAGGTAGATGTTAATCTCATCTGATGAAACAAATGACCAACAAATGTTTTAAGAACAGGAAATGTTCCATCACTTAATAATGCTTCTGCTGGACTAACAAGATCAACATTTGGAATTCCAAGTACTTCAACAGTATCTGTACAATATCCATTTATAAGTTTCTCATAAATTGGGTTTGGCTTTGCATAACATGTTGGATCATTTTGATGTGTAATTAATCTTTTTTTCTCTCTATATAATTTTACAGAATTACAAAATACACAAAATGGACCACTTGGTCTTGGGATTTTAGCACTTGCTAATTCAGATAATTTGAGTAGTTTCAATTTTTTGGCCAATGATTTTCCATCACCTTTTGGGCGTGCGCTGCTACTTGGAACATTCTGTGTTTGTTCCAAATATGTTTCATTATTGTATTTAGGTACACCAAACATTGAAAAATGTCTTCTTAATTCAAAATGCGGCGTAATAACCCATGTGTATTTGTTTCCAATTTCAATGACTACTTTCGCACTAGAACTTTCAACACAGTTTCTTTGACATGTGTAACCACTACAATGACGACATTTTGGAAAATTTTCCTCTAACGTAATTACTGTATGCAGTCTATAACACATTGCTTTAAAACTAACACTAAGTAGTTGCAGACATGAAATGTCTGGAAATTTAAAATGTACTTTTGAAATCAATTGTAGCCACTTCATTTTCCTGAAAGAAGTGGTAAAGAAAATTTATACTAATGATTGAAGATAATAGTTTTTCAAAGACACACTTTCAATTGAAATATTAATATACAGCTTCCACAGAAATATATTAATCTGTTTTTATAAAATAAAATTTTGTACAATAATTTCAAAATTTGTATGTAATTTTAGATATACACTTTTTTTATAAAAAACTTGGAATAACATGATTTCATATTTATTTGTCAGTTAAATTATTAAACTTCAATGTAACTTTGACGTAAACTTAACCTCGAACTTACCATAGGTAATCAGTATCAGAAGTTTTCTTTAAATATTTACACGTACTACCGAAAGCAATAATATCAGGTACATCACAATACAATAAAATTTTTATCCAAATTTCTTCAGGGAAGATCGAAGGATCCATAATTATTAATAAAAATGATACAAAAGGTACAATTAACAGTTACTAATACAAGATTGCAGACACTCCCCAGAAACAGTGAATACGTTAGTCAAGTTCAAGGTTACAATGGTGAAAATAGTGAATCAATATGTTATCAACGGGTGGTACTTCAATAAAGATTAACTATACAGTTATTATATAATTGACAATTTTCCTTGTTAAAAGTACTACGTAGTAGAATTAACAAAAATTTTGTGATCAATATTTCACAATTGTCCAAGATCACAAACCATTTGCCTCTTCTTGCACTTAAATATTTAAACAGGCGCATATTTATTTGTAAAATATTATGGTTATAAAGAAACATACTGTATATTTGTATAAAAATTAATTATTTAATTTAAGACTTATAAAAACAACACTGTATCATTTTCAAACTTAAAATAAGAATACTATTGTAAATAATATTGACTTTCATTCTTATTAGTTATTTTCTTATATTAATTTACAAGGCTGCAAGAAATGTTTCTATATAGGGATTTTTATGAGATAAAACTTCTTTCTTATATATTGAAATTTTATCTTCTAAATCTGCATCAGATAATGATGTATCTAGATTTTTGCACTTATTAAGAAATTCTGCAATAAGTACTTCTGCCTCCTGCAATATCATTAATAGCATGTAGAGCATTGCTTAAAATAGCATTTTAGTTTTTAATCAATGTATAAAAAGTTATGATACCTTGATAATTTTTTGTTTCTTCTGTGGATCATCAGATCCTTTAAAAGTTGAATGTTGATAATCTTCAAGTTCTGCTTGTTTTCGTTTAGCAAACTAAAAATAAAGTTCATTTTCCTACATTATTATAAAAAACTTTTAATCAAAAAGTATAGAAGGACTAGGAAAGAATATCACCTCTATCACATTTTGCGGGAAATTAGCCATTTTAGCAACATGTATTCCAAAGCTTTGATCACATATACCGGGTTTTACTTTATATAACAAAGTTAATTTATTGTCATCAACAAGAGCCGTAACATGTTGATTTTTAACCGCAGATACTTCCTCTTCTAATTTAGTGATTTCATGAAAATGTGTAGCGAAAAGACAATAGCATTTTATCTCTTTTGCTAAATATCTGCAATAGAATTATAGCAAGAATAAGTGACAAATTATAAAATTATATTTATTTTAAAAAATATTGTTTATATCGTACTCTGCGATTGACCATGCAATGCCACAACCTTCGTAAGTCGATGTTCCTCTACCTAATTCATCGATTAATACAAGAGAATTACATGTTGCCGTCTGTAAAAATTAAGTTGAAATTACGTATGAAGTATATTTAATTTAATATTTTATGTCCTATATATCAGTCATTTACTTTTAGTATGGCAGCAGTTTCTATCATTTCCATCATGAATGTGGAAAGTCCTTTTAATTGAGAGTCGTCAGCTCCCACACGAGCTAATATACAATCTAATAATGATATTTTCGCTTCATCACACGGAACAAAACTTCCAATGTGTGCCAACAATGCAGTAACACCAGCAGATCTTATATAGGTACTTTTACCACCCATGTTCGGACCAGTTATAATACAAAAATGGTATTCTCCTAATGTAATTATTGTATATAATTATAAAAATTAATGCAAATAAATTATTATTAAAATATATTACCTCTTTTGAAATTGACATCGTTGGCTATATAATCCATGCCTTCTAAATTTTCTAAGCAAGGATGTCGAACTTGAACCAAATTAAATTCACCCGCTTCGCTAGGTAACATTTGAGGACGTATGTAAGGTTTATTAGCACTTACAGCAGCAGATGCAAAGGCAGTAAGCACATCAAGACATGCTAATATATTTCCAATATTTTTCACTGGACTGCTATAACCAGCTATGTAAATAGTAAACATAATTTAATAAAAGTAAACTTAAAAATTTATAATTATTTTTTGTTAATTTTGCAACCCTATGTACAAACCTGCAATTTCGATTATTTCTGATACAACTTTTTTTTGTTCTGTTGTATATTTATCTCTAGTTGCAATATACTCATCATTTAGATCGCTTAATCTATTGCTTCGAAATCGTACACCACTTTTATTAGAATCTAAAATAGTATATTGCTTTTTATTCCTTAACACCTTCTCCTCTTTTAATGTAACCCGAAAATAATATCCAAATTGTTGATTAGATTCTAATTTTAGAGTTTTGCCAGCATCAATTGACAAATCATCAGCAACTTTACTCAACTGTGCTTGTAATTTCTTTTCCATTTCGTCCATAGTATTCTTTAATTCTGGTAATACAATATCAGTAAGTTAAAAATAAATTTGATATGTCCGAACATTATCGCCTTGAATTACAAAACAATACAAATACCTTTCAACTCTTCATCGAATTCAGATCGCACTAAAAAATCTCCTTTTTCAGCAGCATCTAAATCAATTGTCTGTTCAACCATTTGTTGATATTTATCCATATCTTTAATAAGTTCAGTTAAAGGATTACTAAACACTGTTTTTAAGGCAACTACATTTATGTTAGAAAATTGTTCTATTAATCTTGGCAGATGCAACATACACATGTAAATTCTAAAAGAATCAATGAACACATTATAATATATATGCAAAATTAAATGTATAATATACATAAAGTATACAATCCACTTACTTATAACAATCTTGTAATGTTGCTTTCTTTCTAGCCAATTTTTTTGCAAGCACTTGTAAGTCTGGTATACGTCTTAAATGATCTTCACTTAGATTAGATCGTAATTCATTATCATTTACCAATGCTTCAACAATATCATGTCTTTCTTTTATAAGAGACAAGTCTTTCAAAGGTTGCCTGACCCATTGTGCAAGAAGTCTATGACCTTGAGCTGTTCTACATTTGTCCAAAAGAGTTAAGATACTTGTAGGTGCATTTCCACTCAAAATAGACAGAGTATCAACACGTGGTTCGATATTGAGAGCCTTTATAGCAGCAGCATCCAGTTTCAAATATCGTGATTGTTCTATTTGATCAAGAATAAACTGATTCAAATTGCCTTCATCTGATGTTAACTAATAGAAAGAGTATTATGTTAAACTATTATAAATGCATTACGTCTCTTTTAGAATGATGTAATAGTACTCACATCTAAATATTTGATAAGAGCAGCAGTAGCTGACATAGCAAAATTTAAGTTGATTTCAGGTAAAGATTGTACATTCGGCTGTTGACCTTTTGCAAATTTGATTAAAGTATTTAAATCTTGTACAACTGATTCACTTGAGAATTCGTTTTTTTTCTTTAAAGTGATCATTACATTATTTCGTTCCATTAACTATGTAAGAATAAACAAATACCACTGTTATGTCATTGAATTTTTAATTCAATTATTTTGTAATAAAGATAATATCTTATCTGTATACTTGTTTTAGAGTTTGAAATTCATAGCTGCCTTCCCCTTGAATTAATAAACATTCTTTGGGAGCAAGTGTAACAATGAGTGATTCCAGATTAGAAAATGACTCGTTATCTTGAAATTCACAAACGGAAAATGAGGTTGCTGTGGTGTCTACACAACTTAAACCAACAACCTGTAACATAAAATTCAAGGAGATTAGTCATGAACAATTTTGTTTTAGAAAGAAATTCTTAGAAGATAGATTATGACTTACTCTGGACTTTCCATCCATTCCTAATTTCACTGCTATCACGCGTACACTAACTGCAATATCATTATTACCAAACAACACATCTTCAAATTGGGATAAATTACCAGGGGAACCAGTGAATTCTAATACCCAATTCTGATTTTTTGATGATCCTTGATTAACATAAACTTCTATTCTGTATTGCTTCACCAATAATAAATCACGTATAAATGCTTCAAAATGATTTTTATTTAAAATAACACCCTCAGTTTTGTATGGATCTGGATATTAAAAATAAAATTCGTTATAATTGTATGATATTTTTATTTTTTAGCAGTGAAAATGAATCACTTTTAAAATAAGATTTAAGATTATACCTGCTCCAATCATTTTGCAAACTGCTGTGGTCTTAAATACTTCTTGTGCAGCAAATAAAGCATCGCTGCCATGTAATGTGTAATAATCTGATCTATTGAAAAATCTTATAGTTGTATTAAGTTTCTGAAAATAATTATTATTTTATTAAACATGTATTTTATAATATTCTAAGTTCTATATGCAAAATACGAAAACATACATTTTAAATTTATACATTTTATACTATTTATTATTTACATGAAATAAAATATTTTTCAATAAACAATGTCCAAAGTCATATAATACAATTTTTTATAATGAATGGATTCCCTTTTATTGCATAAGTATTTCGGAAATTACATGTAATGTGAATACTTGAAACAAAAATTATGATAACTAACTATTAAATTATTACTACTGTGATATTTGTTTCCAAGAAAATGAAGAATCTCGTCATATATCTGTAGGTCAATGTCTATCTTGGGTCAGAGCATCATGAACTGATATTAATGTGATGTGCATGGTTTCAAGGAAACTTAGCATTTTGTGATAAACACTTGTCAACTTCAAAATATGACATAAAAGAATACATAATTTTAAATGAATCACATATGAATTGAAAATAATGTAATATATAAGTATATATCAAATAGGTAAGCTATCTACTAATAATTATGATATTATATTAAATTTCTATTGAAATTATTATGCTTTTAAACAGTAATATTCAATAACTTTAATATCACATAAAAATAAATGTATTAAACATAATTTATGAATAAATAATCTGAAGGAAAATTCTGAAATTTTGGTAACAATTATTTTGCTGTCATTATCTTGGAAGTATTATTCATCTTTGTTATGATAAAAGATCACAGTTCATGTTCCAGGAAGGTCAGTAATACATTTTAAATAGGCCATTACAAAAACATGAACTGCTTTACTTACTTAAATATACTTGATATTTAAGTATGTGCAGTGGCATTTACTTTAATTACTCTTATCTTAATAATTATAATTTTATATACATGTATAGAAAATTCAATATGTAGTCAGTATTATAATAATTGTTATTACTACCCTTAATTATTAATAATTACATATTCTTCTCAGTAAAGTGTATTCGCATTTGATAACAACTGAGATATATGTGCTCCTTAAAATAAAAGTTATAGGATCACGTACACGTATGATGCAACTGAATGATAATCAGCTTAAAGCTATGCCTATTATGAAATAGGAATAAATTAAAACGTCACAACAAGGATGTTATACATTTAGAATGACATCACTAATGACACATCAAACCAAATATGGGAAACCATTTATAACTATTACCTAGAAGTCAAAGAAGTGGGTATACATCCTTAGAAGTAATGTCTTATATGCATAAAATTATAAACTTTGATATAAGAAGTTTACATTATAAAATTAAATCAAGTATCATAAAGGTCTGTCAAATTCTCCTTACAGATATTTTTATTGTTACTGAGAATTATTAGCAGCGATAAGAATGTATATGAGCTGAAGTAAATGCACAGAAAACATTATCATCATGTAAGAATGAAAGAGAATGTTTTCATAGATGTGGTGGGAAGAAGGGGCAACCAACATAAATGGAATTGCTGCAACTTGATGGGAGTACATGTCAATATACACTGCCATTGGGAACATCTCAATCGTCAGTTCTGTTACCTGAATTGAGTGATTTTGGTCTTCTATCAGAAGGTAATTACATTTATCGTTTCAATTAATAAACATGAAAATAGTGGCACCACAGGTATTAAAAATTACTTCATTGAAAAAAAGTCTATAAGTAATAAGACAATTTTTTAATAAAAACACAAAAATATATATATATGCTATTTTTATTTATCATGAAAATTATATCAAAATATATTTTGTATTTCAGAGACCAAACATGGTGGTTCAACAAATTGCTGTTTTATCCTTGTTAATAATTCAAGTAATTTCTGCACCAACAGGGTGTATAGAATCTTGTGATACTTATTTCAAACAATATGAAACATCTGGTCATTTTAATGATCATGGATTACAAACTGCAAGTCAATTACAAGGGCCTGAGTTTTCAAAACCAGGCACATGGACTGAACATAACGATTACAATGTAGACAATGGACATGGAAAAGTACATGAAGAACGAGGTCAGTATGTTGCTGGTCCTAAAACTGTGAGATATTATAAGAAGAATTACTCGTCCTCATATAGTACAAAATATGGTGGAGGATTGTCAGATGTTGAACAACAAAACAGTAATTATAGACAAGGTATTCCAGTATTTAATATCATGCAGTCTAATTCTGGAAGAATATATGATCAAGTAGCTCATTCAGAGTTAAGTGCACAGCAAGAAAGATATAATACAATGCACAGCCAACAACGTTTGCAATCAACAATCAGATCTGGTGTTCAAAGTGAAAGACTAGAAGATTTTGGAGAACACATTGGAGATTCACAAGTATTGCAACACGGTCTATCTAATTCAAATACTCAACATTCACAAGTACCATACTATCCTGATACTCAACCTGGAAACTGGAGTAAGGTAGATTCATATAAAACTGATGGAGGACATGGACGTGTTTATACAGTAGAAGGCCAATATGTGACAGGACCAAAAAGAGTTCGTTATTATACAAAAAATTATACTTCCAGTTATAGTTCACATGGCGGAATACCCGACACAGTTGGAGTTGGAGTAGAAGATATACAAAAGGAAATAGACAAACTTCACAGGGAAATTGGTGTACAAACTGTAGGATCCAGTGACACTGCAAATATTAATAGATATGATCAATCTATTCTTCAGAATGTAAACAGTAACCGGTATGGAAATAGGAACAACTATGAAAGTAGTTCATCTCTAATACATAATGAACAACAATTACGTCAACCTGCAAGTGAACGTGTTATTATTAGAAATCCTTCTCAAAGTTCTTATGAAACAAATAGTCATAGCACTTATGAAAAACACGAAGGTCATGCAGCAGTAATTCAACCAGTTAGGCAACTCATTATTCCTACACCAGGATATACTCCTGTACTTAACACTGGAAGTAGTACTCATTCCAGAAATGTATTTAATACAGCAACCTCACAACAACAAACTGATAATATGCAAGAGGCAGAATATTTAAATACTCATCAATCAGGACTTGATCAAAGTAGAATGTTTTCTGATCATTTGGGACAGAGTGGATATAATCAAAATAGTGCAATTCAGTCTGGTACAGGACAATCCGCACATCATAAAGAACATTGGAGTCATACTAGTCATACCAAAGAAACATCAGTTCCTCAGTACAGCACAGGTATTTCACATTCATCAGGTCATAATATGCAACACAGCAGTAACCAATATGACAGCCTACATGGTACACATCAAACTCTACAACAAGATAACTATTTTAATAAAGAAACCAAATTTAATTCTGGTCACCAAACACACTTAGGAAAGCTGGTATCTGGAGTACTTGATTTAGGTACTGCAGGCGATACTGTTGATTGTGCTTATGGCTCACAATATGACCATCACAGCTCCCAATATCAAATGAAATATAAACGCGGTATAAAGGATGATCAAGAAGAAGATGATACATTTCAACAGCATACACAGCAATCTTACCAACCTTGGAAACCAGGCAGTACCAACGAGCATTTAGAGGATTTGACACAACAAACAAATCAAGAAGAAGATCTTACTCAACAAACGTCTGGAAAGCTTGAATTTGGTCAGACAACACAGCAGTCATATCAACCTTGGAGACAACATAGTGCAAATCAGCAATATGAGGATTACACTCAACAAGTAAGTGCACATGATGATCTTACTCAACAAACGTCTGGAAAGCTGGAGTTTGGTCAGGACTCACAGCAGACTTATCAGCCATGGAAACTAGATAGTGCAAGTCAGCATTCAGTGGACTTGACACAACAAACCAGTAAATATGATGATTTCACCCAACAAACATCAGGCAAACTCGAAGTTGATCAGGAATCACAACAATCTTATCAACCACAATGGCCAGGTAGGAACAAAAATTCAGAGGATTATACTCAACAAGTAGGTGCACATGATGACTTTACTCAACAGACATCAGGAAAGCTTGAACTTGAACAACAATCTCATCAGATTTGGAAACCAGATAGTGCAAACAAACAAGAAGATCATGATGATTTAACTCAGCAAACATCAGGGAAACTAGAATTTGGACAACAATCTCATCAACCTTGGAAACCAAGTAGTGCAAACCAGGAAGTAGACGATCTTACTCAACAAACAACAGGAAAGCTTGAATTTGGACAGCATTCGTCCCGGCCTTGGAGATTAACTAATGCAGATCAAGTAGATGATCTTACACAACAAACAAGTGATCATGATGATCTTACACAACAAACATCAGGAAAGCTTGAATTTGGACAGCACTCTTATCAGCCATGGAAACCAAGTAGTGCAAACCAAGAAGTAGACGATCTTGCTCAACAAACAACAGGAAAGCTTGAATTTGGACAGCATTCGTCCCGGCCTTGGAGATTAACTAATGCAGATCAAGTAGATGATCTTACACAACAAACAAGTGATCATGATGATCTTACACAACAAACAAGTGATCATGACGATCTTACACAACAAACAAGTGATCATGATGATCTTACACAACAAACATCAGGAAAGCTTGAATTTGGACAGCACTCTTATCAGCCATGGAAACCAAGTAGTGCAAACCAAGAAGTAGACGATCTTTCTCAACAAACAACAGGAAAGCTTGAATTTGGACAGCATTCGTCCCGGCCTTGGAGATTAACTAATGCAGATCAAGTAGATGATCTTACACAACAAACAAGTGATCATGATGATCTTACACAACAAACATCAGAAAAGCTTGAATTTGGACAGCATTCTTATCAGCCATGGAAACCAAGTAGTGCAAATCAAGAAGTAGGTGATTTGACTCAACAAACACATGACCATGATGATCTTACCCAACAAACGTCAGGGAAGCTTGAATTTGGACAGCACTCGTCCCAGCTTTGGAAACTAACTAATGTAGACCAAGTAGATGATTTGACACAACAAACAGGTAGCCATGATGACTTTACTCAACAAACATCAGGAAAGCTTCAATTTGGACAGCACTCTTATCAGCCATGGAAACCAAGTAGTGCAAATCAAGAAGTAGATGATTTGACTCAACAAACACGTGGCCATGATGATCTTACCCAACAAACGTCAGGGAAGCTTGAATTTGGGCAGGAATCACAGCATTCTTACCATGTTTGGCAACCAGATAATGCAGGTCAGTACTCTGAAGATTTAACACAGCAAACGGGCATGTCTGATGATTTCACTCAGCAATCAGGGAAGCTTGAATTTGGACAGCAGTCACAGGTTGATGTGCACCAAATTGATCAAGGATCTACTTCACATATTCCTAAGCCTGCAGGAAAGCCAAAACCCAGGTCCAGATATTCAAGAGTTGGTTCAGTAGGTAATGTACAGATTCAGAATCAAAATGTGTACAATACTAACAGCCAGGAACCTATAGACCATAAAAAACAAGATACAGATGTTCCCAACATTTATGAAATACCAGCTTATGTTGATGCAGAAAGTGATGGAAGTAATGTTAGGAATCTAGAGATGAGAGGAGATCAAGCTGTGCAAAATTCCAACAAAAATAATTCTGGAAACTTAAATCAACAAAGTGCAATTAATGCATACAATATAGAAGGGGAAAATGTGGATCAAGTGAACTGGTTACATAAGTCTAATGATGCAACGGTAGGTTTACAATGGCATTATACATATCATCCTAGTGATCAAAGACAATTTGTACAACAAACAGATCGAAAGGATAAGGAAAACTTACAGCAGCAAATGAGTCAAATAAAATTTTCTGACTTACAGCAAACCAGGGAGCAGGAAGAAAGTCAAGACGTACGGTTAATGGACAATGTATATCAACAATCATCTAATCAATATAATGAAGCATCCCACCCATATGTACAATCTCAAACTTATGCATCTGGACAAACAACTAAATTTGATGAAGATAGTCAGCAGACAAGTGATATTATGAATGAACAAAAGCATATTCGAAGCAGCATAGGTGAACATCAATTAGAACCAAGAATACTGGAAGCTTATGGAGGTGGCCCATATGATGGATCTCATAATGGTGATATATATCATGGAGTAACATTAAGTCCTAGTGCTACATTGCCACCTATTATTGGTGCTGATCCATGGGATATTAGAGAAAAACCAAGTGAAACAACACCTCCACCAATGCCTGTAGAACCATTAATAACAGATTATCCAACCGAAGAATCAACACCTCCACCATCCTTCTGGTCAAAACTAGGTTATAAGATAACAAATACTTTCGGTAAAGCCAAAGAAAAAGCTAGAAATATTTTTGGATAAATATAATTATTAACTTTGTTAATTGATATTTATTTATACGTATCTTATTTTGTATATTATATAAGACTTGCCATTGTAAAAACTTTATTTATCAATGTCATGTAATATATTAGTTTCAATCAACCTGTTAATTTAATGATTTCAAAAAAATAATGTGGTATTATAGAATGCAATTATTCTATAGTTATTGTTACCATATATGTTGTTATTTAAATAAATTTCTTTTATAATATTTTGTTCCTTTTTCTACCAATAATTCAAAGAAACATGATTCTATAAGTTCAATAGTAGAGCTAGTAATTAGATAGAACATATTAGATAGAAGAAAATAATTTGATATAGATTAAAATATAAAAATAATGACTTACTTCTGGTAAATTTTTAAAGAATCGTACAAAACTTTGTTGAGTTGGAGGATCTAAAATGTTTAATATTTTGTATAAATATATTTATAAATTAAAATAGAGTCAGAAATTAGTTAAAAAGATTATGTTACGTTCAACTAACCCATATTAAACTGTTGATTCGGTTGTACAGCCATGATTCAATATACAAATAGCAAAATTTATGTCTTATATCATAAATAAAATATACAATTTATAATATGTTATACAAGTTCTCAAAAATAGACAGGAAAACCTTTGTACAAATCTTTGTTTGGTAAACATTCAATGCGTTCCCGCAAAAATTAGCATCACCATGTATTTAATAATGTCTAGATGCAGCACTGTAGGCTATTCTTTGTTCATTAATTTTATTGGTTTATTAAAAATAACCTCTGGTTGTAATTTCATACGCATATTTCGCGTCTAGAACTATGTAATTAATGACAAAGCTTGGTAAACAAATTGTTCGGCCCCTTTTAAAATTCGTAAAATGTGTTAGTAGTTCAATTTTCATGAATACGACGATTTGTGTAAGTGTCATTATCAAAGGTTATTTATATTTAGTGCTTAATACGCTATATTACTTTGTGTTATAATGAATTCGCAAGTTCAATAACAATTTAATAAATAATGATATTTTACAAAATTAGGTGCTGCGGGAATTTTAAATTTCAATTCGAATTTATGAATATTACAGAAGAACCTTAGAGTAGTATTTTGTAAATTTCATTTGCTTGATTCAATAAATAAATAAATAGAAATTGAAATAAAGTATTTTGCAAATAATCTAAACATGTATTACTTTTATGTGTGGTGAGATAATTTAAAATTAATAATTCGGTAATGTGCGTAATTTGAATGTCTAATACTAAAAATACTGAAAATTCCGATGCTCTTTTTGCGTGCCATAAAGCGTATAATAAAAATTCTAATAATTATTATTCTAACATAGTAAGAATAAATCTTTTGTTCGTTACTCTTATCATTCCGATAAGAAATGAATTATTATCTTACAGAATCAATATCTATATGTACACATGGAATATAAAGAGAGCACAATCTCGAGCAACATAAATATCAATTATTGTACATTGTCGCCCTACAGTGGAATTGATTGAGCGTCAACTATTGCGTATATGAACGTATAATTCACTTCCTTAACTGTTTCGTTCGTGTATGCATCGTGTAGTGTTCTTATTTTTGAAACAAGTAAGTTATAATTTGTAAATTTAATAATTTGTTTAATAATTTGTAAGTATGAAATATAAAGAAAAAAATATAAAATATATTAACGTGGTGTGCATTTGTGTCGTTTTTAGTAATAAACCGGAAATGGAGGATAAGAACGCAGTGCTGATGCCGGGGCAAATAATTCGCCCGCCAACTAACAAACAAATCGCATTAGAGTTATTGGAACAGCATTACGGACTGAAAGCATCGAGCGTAACCGAGTTAAACGCATACGACGACAGAAATTATCATGTGATCTGTCAGGAATCTCACAGGAATCCTTACATAAAGCTCATAAGCAAGCACGGTTACGTTCTGAAAATCATAAATTCTTTGGATTCGAGAAAGGGTCACGTGATCGAGGCACAGACAGAGATGCTGATCTATTTGAATCATCGGAACATTAATTGTCCTTCACCGATTAAAACTCTGAAAGGTTCATATTATTCTCTAGTGCAGTTGAACGTCGATACCAGGACGGATAGTTACGCCATTAGACTGCTCGTTTATCAACCTGGTGAAATGTTGAATAAGGTGCCTATTACTAGCGAATTGCTACGAAACGTTGGTAATTTTACAGCCAGGTTGGACAACGTTCTCATGGGATTCTCCCATCCTGCTTATACCAGCCACAAGACATTATGGATGTTAGCTTCAGTACCAAAATTGCGGCAATTCACTTACGCTGTGAAAAACACCCTAGAAAGAGACTTGGCACACGAGGTGATATCTGTTTTCGAGGAAGAGGTGCTTCAGGTGACATCGCAACTTGAACAGGGGATTATACACGGCGACCTCAACGAGCAGAATATCGTGGTCAGCTCGAACAGCAGAGAGATAGCCGCCGTGATAGATTTCGGGGATTCACATATAACTTGTCTGATCTTCGAGCTAGCTATCACGCTATGTTACATGATTCTGCAAGCTGGCGATGTGATGATGGGTAAATACGTCGTGGAAGGTTATCAAGATGTTAGAAAACTAACGAATCTTGAAAAGGAAATTCTAAAGATCACCGTATGCACCCGGCTTTGCCAGAGTCTGGTCATGGGTGCTTATTCCCATCATCACGATCCACAAAATGAGTATTTGCTATACACGCAGAAATCGGGATGGTCTTTGTTGAAAAAATTGTGGTCACTTAGTCAGAATGAGGTACTTCGAGATTGGGGATTGTTGGATTAAAGATAAACGTAGAACTTCAATGTAATCTGTGGAATTTTTGTAGCGACTTTAGGTCAATTATTAGGTTAATATATAGAAACTTTAGCTGAATAGGTCAATTATTAGGTTGATGATGGTGAGAATTCAAATTGTCACATGCGTCAATCAGTCTAATGTCAATGCTAATACTTATTGTCAATTAATTGCGCTAATAAATGTAGATTTTATTGTAGTTGTCTGATGTAATGTTGAGAATACCTAAGACAAATGAATTGAGGTACTGTGCAGTGATATATCCTCTGGTTTTATTCGTATTTTTAGGCAGTTACATATTTACATAGATATAATGAACAATAATGCTCTTCATATAATAGTGTGGAGTCACTTTACATAGCTAGATCGTGGTATATACAAAAATGCAGGTATCAAGAAATCAATTCGCGGGAAATTGCGTGTAGGTAATTGGTAGACGACATCAAAGAAATGTATATTAGTTGGATCGAATAACAATCATCATGGGCTTAAATGCTAACCAAACACTTATCGAAATATATAACATATAGAATTTTGTTTACAAATATTGCCGTAAGACGATATACATTTCGATCCTGCATAATACATTCATACCTGTGTTTAAGGTGGTGAAAGTCATTTTTATCCGCGTGTGCTTTCATATAACTTACGTAGCTTGTAATATATATATATATTTCTTTTCTCGATTTCAATAATATACTAATTTATTTATATTTCATTTTCATTCACGTCAGTTCGTTTTTGGCAAACTGTCTAGCTGTGTTGAGGCAAATTCGTTGATAGCGAAAATCTGTTCACAGTACCTTGTTAAAATAAACGTGAAAAGGAATGATTAATATTTTATATATTACGTAAGAAATCGATCGTATTTTCTTGAAACATTTTTACACGATACACGTAAAATTATAGTTGACGAATCAAATAATCTCGATTGGTTAGAAATTAAATACCGATCGCATGATCAGAGGCACAACAAATGAATTTTCTTGAGCCATTTCGATTAACAATGGCAGCGTCGTGTTAACGAATTTTCGCCAGAGGTTATTAACAAAATAGTATATTACAATACTTATATACTTTATTGCTTAGAATCTATTGGCTTACGTTCGCCCGACGAGGCGCTTATAGGCGCATAATAATTCATTTATAACTTACATGTTGTTAGTAACTTTTATACTTTTATCATTTGTTAACTAAACATCTTTCCGTTAATAATTTATTATATCGCGTATCGTCGAACATAAAACAGGTAACACGTCGCAATAAATACAAATATATACTCCTGTGAAAACGTAACAGAACGTGTGTAACATACGAAACGGTACAGGTGGAATGTTTGTGAAAACTCTTTAGGACGTAACAAGAATTGGGAGTGCGATCAGAAACGACGAATCTTACATACGAAAGAGAAATTAATGTAATGTTTCAGTCTTCGATAAATGATCTTGCACGTTTTTCGAAAATCAACTGAGAGAGTTTGAAAGTGTGTCGTTCACAAGGGATGTACGTAAAAAAATAAAGCCTCGAGAATGAATTTTTTGTGCCGCCTTTGAACAGTGTGATCGACATGTACTGTTCCGTTCATCTCTTTCTCTCTATTCGTAACATTTCCATCTAAAATTTGAACAGCTTTAATGCTCATCTTTCGAAACACCAACGTTTACATACGCCGCGTACATCCTTTCAGGATACCATTAATTAAGTTGTTGCCATTCAAATGATCGATTTATTAATACTGTATTTTATTCATTAATTCATTTTTCGTAAATATTCGTTATCCAATGACTTGATTGAAGTAGAAAGTTATGAACAGTTTCATGGTGTCATTTTTATTAAATTTTAAGCTTCAAAAGCTTAGTAAAATAAGTGGTGTTCTGCAATGTTTTCATAAAGGTACATAGTTTGAAAATCGCTCATTCGACATGCAACAACCGAAACCTTTTCCTATTTCATTTTCATTGAACTTCAACAATATAATTTCTCAACTTTTTTGGACGAATGCCGGGATATTCCCTCGTTCTCTTCCATGGGGTGTGAGCGTGCGCAATTAGGAGCTGTGCCAAACTACACTTTTACACACGTTCGAAAATTATAGCTTTAATTAGCACACAATTAGGAATCGGATTCTTTATTGGGTCAAGGAGAATCCGGATGCGAACACGTTTGTTCGAGGGCACAAAGACAGAATCGGGAAACAATTACCAGCTGAAGTAATTTGGTCGATATAGTTTCTTCAATACATTTTCTTTACATTGTCTTCTGTTATAGAGCACCTGAACGTGTTCGAAGGCTCCGACGCTCCATGCGAGATTTATCTCGGTCTTCTTTATTTGCTGTTATATTATATCAACAGACAAGCGTATCAGCGAGCATTTCAACAAACATTGCGAAGGTAACCTTCGATCCGTTACTTTTTGCACGCACTTCGTATCAATTTCTACCTAACTTCTTTCATTTCTGTTTATCAACAATTTCTATCGATTTCTTCTAGCGTCTAGTGACACGATTGACAGCACTGCTTTTGATAAAGGGGTACCCTGCACATGTTCATCGTCTTTACCCTGCCGCACAATTGCGAGTGGTCCTTACAGTCGTCTGCAAGAACAGCAATCTTTCAGCAGCATTGTTCTAAAATTTCATCGTGTATAAATTCATTATGATTCTGTCTTTGTAGGTAAATTCTTACCGGGCGTTTGAAGACACGGAGGACCCCTGCACGTTTTCATCACCGGAGGTCGCGGAATATCTCTGCACGCGTTTCCAGCTGGCTTCTTCGTTCCGTACCAGACGCACTGCAGGATCCTGTATTTAATTCCGTCTTCCTCGCAAGCTGCTGTACACTACACAAACAAACAGCTTTTCCAGATTAGTAGTCAAAGAGAATCATAAAAACCAATAATTTAATATTACTACTATAATTTACGCCTAGTCATTTTACATCAAGAAATATTTGTACAGTCAAGCACAGTTCGTACAATGAGTTCTATTAAGTTTTATAAAATACCAGCTTTATGAAAGCCTTATACTAAAATATACATATACCTCAGACCATTCGCCAACTCTCCAGACGCCTTTGCAGGCATCATTGTAACATTCCTGTCTCTGCAGGGGTCTAATTGTGTCGTCACATTTATTCGGGTCAATCAATGTGATGTTTTGCTGTCCATTCTCGGTGTCCTCGACCAAACGACAGGTAACGTCGCGTCTTTGCATCGCTGTCTTCCAATTGAAGCACCTGGACGTTTCACATGGGGTCCACTCAGTTGTGTGCCATTGAGGACATTTACCGAAACCACAGGGTCTCACTTTCTGAGGCACTGGATGACCCGCGTCTATACACAAAGTTGCTCCTATTACAGTCCTCGGTGGTGTGCGAGTTGTATTTCCAGCTGGTTTCGATGCACGTACTGTGCATTGAGCTCCTCGCATCTTTTCAAACAAATTTATTAATTATAAAGACTGTAATATATATTGGTCCCTCGATTTATTCGGTCGCGTGATATTGTATGGCTACTGCATAGTTTACTCCTTACGTATGGTGACCCGCCTTACATCCATGCATATTAAATATATAGACGTAAGGGGTTTTCATTAATATGGACTCGTATTACGATGTCATTAACATTTTATGATTTCTTTAAATAAAACCATGAGGTCTTATGAAATAATAAATTGTCTGTCGCGTAGAAGGGAATACAAAGAAACCGAGGGACGATATTTTCACATATTTGTAAATTTACCTGAAATCCACTGCCTCCGCAAGTTTGAGAGCACTTCGACCAATCCGTTGTCACCCATTCAAAAACGAGATCCTCCGTAGTATCTGAACAAGTTAAATACATTTAATTGACAGTATAAACTCGATAATGTTCCAATAAATCTTTCTTACCTAAGATAGTAAAAGACGTAATTGTAGAATCAATAGTAACATTAGATCCACTGAGAGTACTATTCGTAAAATCCAACGATCTTGTTTTATTCGTCTCTTCGCTAGTAGAGCGTTCTTGAAAATCAGTCGTTTCTTTGGACGAATTGTGTCGATCTCCCTGATTCTGTGATAGATTTCTAACGTTCTTCTCCATCTCCGCGAATCCTCGATCTTCCGTCAACGCCAAGTCGATGAGATCTTCCTCAAGATCTCTGGTGGTCGGTGCTCGAGTGGTACCATCATCGACCGTGTCGTTCTCAACGTAAACCCGCCGTTTCTTCATCTCCTCTTCAAACATCTCCTCGTACTCTTCTGTTCTATTCAACAACTCCATTTTGTCATTTCCAGTGTTCGATTCTTTTGAAGACGCGTCTATATCCTTCAGCGACATCGTCGAGCGAACATCCTCGATTTCAGAATTATCATTTCTTCGATCGCTGTCTCGATTTTCAGCAGAATTTCCTCTGGATTTCACCGGGTTGTGCTTGGTACTTGATTCGGGAATATAATAAACCTCTAAACCGATGTTGTCCGAGGTAGTTGCTTCCTTATTTTGATTTTTAGTGGAGCTCCAGTGGTTCTTAGACTCAGACCTCTCTGACCATTGCCTCTTCACATTTTTCAACGATTCCTCCACGTAATCGACGTTAGGCTTCATGGTCGTCACGTTTAGAACAGGGGTGAGCTTCACTGGATCACTGTGCTGCAGTCCAAACAAGGACTCGTCTAAGTCGTAGGGATCAACATCGATGAATATCCTTTCCTCGTCGGGTCCGAACGTTTCGTCCGGAATGGCGGTGTTGCGATACAAGGTATCCAAATTTTCTTCGACATTCTGGTACCTGAAGTCGGAACCCTTGTCAGGTATGGAGTGCTTCGTCGCGAGGATTTCCTTCCTCACGTCGTCTATGAATGACACCGGGGCTGTCCTATGGGACTTTTCGGCAGAGCCTTCGTTCTGGAAAGGCCAGTATTCCTGTTGCAAAAGATATAAAGAAATCAATTAGACCTGCATTTAATTTACAATTTTTATTTTAGACGAAGAAGAAATTAGCGGTTAATTCCGATTGTACCGTTGATCAGCTCTCACCTTTAAAGTCGATATAAAATAAGTCAAGTGCGGTACTAGAGTAGCGGCACCTGAGCTCGACGGTGCAGTAGATTCTACAGATTCGTGGTATCCTGGCTGATATATTAAAACCAAAAAATCCATCACCGTAAAAGTCCACGCAAGCAAGAAAGTAAAGAGTCATAGATAATTAGTTTCTCATGCGTTTGCATACAGAGTTCGAGTTGTTAATTTGACAGAGGTGAAACTTAAAACATGGACGTAACCTTACCTGATTAAGGGACGTGACAGTGTGTTCTCTTTGTATCATTGCCGGATCGGGTGTCGGGTTGAGTCTCTGCTTCTTCTGATTCGGTTTCTTCGTCGTTTTGCTGGGGTACGCTCTTTCGTGACTCAGATCCTCGCTGTCGATGGGAACAAATCGGTTTCCGTAAGCGGCTGCTAGAACATTCATTCAGTATCTTAATTAATCTATCACAGTCGTGATTTGTGCTACCCTAGTACAGTGTGTGTTTTCGTATTTAGATCTTCTAAGGTGATTATTTTTATACCTGCACGGTCGGTGTACAGATTCTCGCCTGAGTTAGCTGGCGCTGAGTCTAAGTTCGCGTTTCGTTGTCGGTGGACGGAATTGCTCAGTCGTAGATATTCCTCGCTGCTAATTTGTTCCTTGGAATGAAATTTCACTATCAACTGCGTTTCTGCGTGCGAGTTTCCTGCTGCAAAATACAAATTCCGTTAATTCCAAAATTAACTTGATCCTCCATATCAAGTCAATCCTTACTGATATTTCTTCGGTTCATCTAATTTACCTATGCACGCATAGAAGCCAGAGTCCGACGATGTTATGTCGTTTATCTTCAAAGCCCCCTTCCTGGTGATCTTATACTTCCTCGATTTCCTCAATTCTCTCTTGTCTTTGGTCCATATGATCTGCGCTCTGAAATCATTTTCCATAAAATTTATTAACATCGGTAAAATTTTACTGTTTCAATTTCCCGGAAAAACAAAGACTCACTTGTCGAATTTCTTGACGGGACAACGTATCTTAACGGAGGATGTGCCTTGGAACACTTTAGCAATGCCTCCTATTTTCAGATCCACTTTCGCGTTCAGGTCCGTCTGATTGTAGGTGGTGTTTTGGCTGGAAATAATCGGCAGGGAGCTAGCGTCCATGTCGTGGCACGGTATGGTGTTGCACGGCTTCTCCGAAGAAGGTCTCAGCGACGGGCATTCACGGTCCTCTCGACTTTGTTTGCGTCCCTGTGCCATTATTTGCTCGCAGGTCACTTTACGCTTCTTCACGCCTCCTCCACAGGTTTTCGAGCACTGAAAAGGACATCCTTTTTCATTAATATCGATTCAATTTGATTACGGCACGACTTCTCGAGGTCACGTAATAACGACAGTAAATCTTCTAACGCCCTAAATCTTCTTAATTCAATTAACGTGGAGCCAAGTTAATTGCAATAACCGTAGAATCAGGTGTCGATAGAGCGAATCGCACGGTTTAATTGAATAGAATCGAAATTACCTTGCCCCATTCACCGGTACTCCATTTGACCGGGCAGTCTAATACGTTGCAGTACTGTCTATCCGCCGGTGGAGGCTGTGGACACATGTTATTGGGCACAGTCTTACGTGTACCCCGTGTCACTTCATGTATGCAGGCGATGTCACGTGTTTGTATGCCGATTCCACATGGACTCATACATGAGGAAAATTCACTGAAATTCCATCTGAAACGGATCGCAATGATTGAATATTACGTGTATGTGCTCAGCATAACGTATGGTATGGTTAAATTAGATCTGGGTTAGGAAAGGATGCGTACAGAAGACAGAACGAAGTGTATGGCATTAGGATGAAAGGCATATGCAAAGGGAACCTATGGATTAGGATAGGATTAAGCAAATTAGAAGACAGCAAAGTGGGGTCAAGCCTGGGTTAGGTGGATAAGAAACGTTTACAAGAGACATGTATGAAATTAGAATGGGCTTATGTGAACGAGGAACATGTGATGTAATTATGTGATGTAGGAGACATGTTAGGCCTATGTGAATAATGTAGGAAACTATATCATTTCTGTGACTAAATTTGTTATAAAAATAACTAAAAGAGGAAGGAACTTGATAAGAGTGATAAAGTGAAGCTTCAGACATCAGCTTGCATTAGCTTGAATGGTTTAAAGTGTAGAAATTCTTGATGTAGGATACCTAGGTGGGCAAGGATGGTCGTTGCAGACTCTTATCCTGGCTTCCGGTTTCGTGTCGGAGCTGCAGAGAAAAGGCATCACGGTTTTGCCGCTGTCGTCTCGCACGCAATTTATTATCAATTCTTGAACACCTGAAACAGACATAATCATTCAATAACGCAAACCTTGATTTTATCCACTTATGAGAACTATTGTGATAACCTAGAATACACTAGATTTTTGATATCTACACATGTTGCTGAGTGCAAAACTTCTGTTATATATATCGGTACAATACAGAACCATGATTAGCTTTCCAGTATAATAGGATAATGATTCTAATCGATAGAATCAGAACATATGTCTCGATCAAAACGATTACGTTTGCATAAGTCGACGCGATTCATACGACTTTAATCTAGTAGCTGGATGCAATTCAATCGGCTGTAACTCGTCGCCGAGCACCGTTAATTGTACAATCGGGTTGAATTATCCCGGCTAATTAAGCGTTCTATGTGGAACGAAGCTAGATTCGTTCCGTTAATCCCTTCTGATCTGATCACCGATAATTCTCTGACTTATGTTTGCGGCTGATTAGCGTCGACTGAATACAGTATTTACGGAACACGGCTTCGGTTAGATAATACAATTTTATTAAACGATTCATCGGTGTTCAATTATTATTCCGATCCAAGCTTTTTTAAACAAGGCAGTCACTTCAACATGTTTCCTCGAGCTTCGAACACGGAACGCGTCACTTTCGTGGAGTTCCCCGTTTCCTCTCACGAATTTGCATTCAATTTCCATCGTGTGTTGCCTCCGTGAAATTTCAAGCATCTCAGTCTTGTGCCAGTTTTAACCGGGCCAATTCACAAAACACCCTTTACAATACAACCGCCTGTTCGCTTTAACACGCGTTTCATTTTCGTCGTCAGGAAGCATTCAATTATTAGGTCTAACTTCTGTTCGCGTGAAACTTGCTGCTAGTGGGCTTCGTAGGCGGTATTGGGCTTAGTAGGCGTTTCTAAGAAAAATTTGGTAATCTGGGGACTTGGGAGATGTGAGGACGTAGGAGGTGTAAGATTTGCTGATGTACGAATTTGGAGATATAAGTGCTTGAGACTGTGGAGATTCGGGATATATGAAACAGAGCATACAAGAATTTGAAGATGCAATTTGGGGACGTAGAGATTTAAGGATATGTGGACTTGTATACACGTGAAACTGGGAATGTAGGAATTTGAGGAGTTTGTGAAAAACTTGAAAACAAAAAATTGCAAAGTTCAAAAGTTTGAAACCTAGGTAGCTCGTTAAATACTCCACTATT